GATTCTAGGATACGTTTAAATTCTTTCCTCGTCAAATTCTGACGCCTAGTTACAAGTGACTCAACAGTATCCCTAGGGAGACCAATGACATTTAGACATCTATTCTGCCCTCTCTGTAGATCTTCTTCGAGGTAAATGGGCAGCCCTCCCCAGACAGGCGAGGCATATTCTAAAACAGGCCTAATCTTAGTGGTGTAAGTTGTAAGACCAATGTCCCTGGGGAGATGGGCTGTTCTACAGACCCTAAGATAGGGTCTTCCCACTGTCTTCCCACTGTCTTTGTTTTGCAAGGAATTTTGGCTGGCAAACTTTTCAGGAAAGGGACATTTAATTAATTTGTAGAGAATAGAAGGTGAATAGAAAAACTAGAAGTAGATTTTTTTACCCCAAATGTTGCTTTTTTTGTGTGTGTAACTCTCTCAAGATATATGAGGATAGGTGAAAATTTGGTAAATGAGGTACCAGTGGAAAAATCCATCCTTGTTGATTTTGATCAGTTTACAACCTTGGTGACTAAATGGAAAGCTAAATGGGTTCATGAAGGATATTCATGGTTCAAAAAAACACCAAAACGACCCAGTGTCGGCAGTACTCCCTCCATCTGATTTACTTTTTTTTATTGGGAGGACAATTGCAAGGATGCGTGAGGGTCCGTTCAATTAGGATTTCAACTAATCAATGGCACAATTACGGGTCGGTCCACTTGACGATCTTTGACCATCTTTGGGTGTTCGAAATCGTGTCTGGACTTAAAAGTGTTGAACGCACGAACAGTGAAGGCAGAAAGAGGAGGTGGAAGAATTTCAGAAAGAGAGGAGAGAAAAGGGGGTAATGATTACTTTAATCTTGTCTTTACTTACGTAATTTTTAATATGCGAGACGTGGCAGTTTCACCAAAATATAACTTTGAAAAACTTCTGAGAAAATTAACTATTTCGGATTTTTATTGATTTTTATTGATTTCCCAGATTCTGGACTTTATCTATTGAACGGTTTTGATTTTTATTTTGAAATATTTGGAATGGCGTGACACCGAAAACCAGCAGTAGTAAAACGTCAGTCCAGAACAGTTTTGTCCAGTGTCCTATTGTTTTTGTGTGACCTGTGACCTGACCTGCCACCTGACCTTTGGCCTGTAACCTGTGGCCTGACCAGTGACCCGCACTTTAGCCCCGTCGCTTGCAAGCGTGGATATGGTCGCAGTCTAACATTTTGGGGAAAACTGATGCTCAGCGTTGTGTTGTAGGTTACGGGGCGCAACCTTTCGATGGAGTTAGAAGTTACTTTACCACCATATATGCACAAATGTCCAGTGCTGGCCACAAGATCCCTACTTTCCTTTTTCATCCTTAGTTCCACACTTCTCAGAGATGTGGAAGTGTGGAAAAGTCTGACAAACTCAGGATAATATCACACTTTTCCCACAGGCACTAACCCCTTGTCATTCTTGACTTAGTTCCACACTTCTCAGAGGTCTGGAAGTGTGGAAAAGTCTGACAAAGTCAGGATAATGTCATACTTTTCCCACAGGCACTAACCCATTGTCATTCTTGACTTAGTTCCACACTTCTCAGAGGTCTGGAAGTGTGGAAAAGTCTGACAAAGTAAGGATATTGTCGCACTTTTCCCTCAGTCGTGAACCCTTTGTCATTCTTTACTTAGTCTACATTTCCCAGAGGTGTGGAAGTGTGGAAAAGTCCGACAAAGTAAGGATATTGTCGCACTTTTCCCCCAGTCATGAACCTTTTGTCATTCTTTACTTAGTTCCACACTTCTCAGAGGTGTGGAAGTGTGGAAAAGTCAGACAAAGTCAGACAAAGTAAAGAATGACAAAACGGTTCATGACTGGGGGAAAAGTGCGGCAATATCCTTAGTTTGTCACACTATTCCACACTTCCACACCTCTGAGAAGTGTTGAACTAGGTAAAGAATGACAAAGGGTTCATGACTGGGGGGAAAGTGCGACAATATCCTTACTTTGCCAGACTACTCCACACTTCCTCACCTCTGAGAAGTGTGGAACTAAGTAAGAAGTGAAGAAACTCTGGATTTCATGGCCAGGGCTGGACATGGCTCAAGAAATTCGGTACGCTCACAACCGATTCTCACTCACGCCACGCACAATTTTTCCCCTAAAAATGGAAGAGACTTAAACTTTCATGAACATTTGTTAAGCAGGAATTTCAACTGAGGCTGTGACTCATACTAAAATGAAATTTTCTCTATTAAGTGCAGGCGCCTATTTCCCCCTAGGCTCCTGGTAAGTGTAAGTAAGAGGGAAAGGGCGATTTGAGTTATGGAAAGAAGGGCCTTTCCCGGCGGAGGAGGGGGGGGGGGGTACTCGACCAATATTTGTGTATAGGTGAGTCGCTGAGGGCTTGAGACCCTGACCCTGTTTAGGACAAAAAAATCCTGAAATACATACCCAGTCTAGGACATTGATCGTTCACGGTTTTTGCAGTGGTTTTTCAATACTTAATTTACATTACAGTTAAATTCAATTTTTTGAAGCAAGGACCAGCTTACAAAAAACAAGAACCGGATCCTGATAAAGGATCCAATCAGCAATAAGTGAAAATATAAAACAAGAAAAATAATATAAAATAAATAAAATAAAATATAAAAAAGCAAGGCTGATTTTACAGTCGGGAATCTATGCATATATATTTTACTAGCCTGCAGTGCAGGCGTATTCTGCGTATTTTGGGTGGGCAAAAGCTTGTTAATCGGATCGCTACGATGAAGCCGCCATCGTTGATTTTATGACAGAGGAAGATCGGGGAGAGTAGAAATAGTAACCCTTAGCGTAGGTGTGAGGGCGAAAAAAGGAGATGGGTTTCCTCCTCTTTTCGGGAGTTTCAACGTGGCGCTTTCGCGATTAAAACCATTCGCGCGCCCGATGAAAACGCCTGCACTGCAGGCTAATATTTTACCAATATTTTACCTGCCTTCCTTCCTCACGGTCTTCATAGACCCTGAAGAAGGAAGGCCGTGCATTCCGAAATATTGGTAAAAAATATATATATTCCCAACTGGAAAATCAGCCTTGCTTTTTTTGTTTAACATTACAATTACCCTGTTTAGAAAAAACGACAAAATGCACGCAGTCTTGTTTTTAAGCCATTTACTGGCAATTGCAATAGACTAAATTCACGTTATAGTCATTGCTTTTATATAGATGGTTTTCACTGTGACATCATCAAATTGTAAAGTCAAAATAGCGAGGTTTTACGAATTCTTATTTATACTAGGTTGAAGATAAACAAAAAGTAAATTTTTGCACAAGTTTGCATTTCCGTAGCATTTTCGTTTCGAAAATGCAGCAATTTGAACTTCCGAGTTTTCACAGCCAAAATAGGAATGCTGTCTTGTTGCAAAAAAGTCTCTTCTCTTGATTTTCAGCAGTGTAACCACTTCAAGTATCAGAAGATATGTTAATGCGTACGTATGCTAGTTCTCGAGTGAAAAGAAAGAGCTTTTATAGAAAAAGTGAACTCCAGATGTTTTTTGTTGTTTTCCGGCGGCCATATTGGTGCACCAAAACGGTGCACCAACATGGCGTCTCCATACAAATAACAAAGCTCTACAAAGGTACCTGAAACGTTTCGGCAAATAACTCAGAAACTATGGGCCACAAAGACCTGAGACTTGGACAAAATGTTTATATATTAGTCTTTTACAACATTTCCCTTTCTTGGCTTCTTCCACTGGACGGTTTCCAATTGAATTTTTTGTTGCGTGACTGTGAAAACGATCTATACTTGGAGTAAAACCCGGGGAGTACAAACAAATTTCCTCCTGTTTATAATTAGGACAGACTCGCAAAAAATTACATACCCTGTTTAGGACAGACTCAGGCGGCAGAGAGGTAAAAAAAAACATACCCCTTCAAGCGGCACATCCCCGTATAGGCCATATATGGGAGTAACCCCGGGGGGACCTACCCGAGAAAGGATCCATTGCGTGACTTTCTTAGCAACAAGCCTCGTGCGGCGTCGTTACGGAAGTAAACACGTCAGCCCTGAGCAATGGAGGAGAACGAGAAAATATTCGATGACTCCGTGAGTGAGCGAATCAACCATTCCTCTTCTCAGAGATCCCTTTCTACTACTGTGTTCAACATTCTGTGCGCATTAAAAAGCCTCTTTTGTTCTGGCATGTTTGTAAAGGGATCGGCTTTTGTCGTAGGTTTCTGGCATCCCAGCAAAGGACTCCGCGCTATAATGGCGTAATTCTTTTGCTTCTGGATATATATTTCGTCATTGCCTCTTTGTTTAGGGCTTTCATCTGCAGGCGGTCCCAAACGCCCGTTAACACTTGGGTTTGTGGAAATACTTCCTCTACAAATTCATCATCTGCAAGTTTAGCAGATACGTTTGGCAGAATTGAACTGGTTGATCTTCTGTCATTGGTTGCATCCTCTGCCAGACTGATGTCAAACGCGACATTCTTTTGGTGTATGTGGAAATTACAACAAAGGACAGTTTACTGCGTGACCCTGGAGAAGGCTTTCTCTACAACAGGGCGTTCTATTTGGGTCACACTTAATGTCTGGATGTTGATCTTTGGCTTCTTTTTTGTTGTAGAGGAATTTTGGTTCCATTTCAATTTCAAAGAATCGTCCTATGGTATTTTTCTAAATTTGATGAGCGGTTTACCAGTGTTGGCCATCCTCACCAGCTCCTGGATGTTTGTGGTTATTACCAGCGCAATGAAACATTGCGTGATGCAGTGCCAAGCAGAAATTAGACAAAACTCTATTGACTGCAGCTTAGATGACGTCATTCGTATTCATAAACGTCTTTGCAAACAGATGTCAAGCACATCGGAGTCCTTAAAGGTCTGGTTTGTAACTCACTGGTTTATGCTCGCTATAACGACTGTCACTTATGTTGCAAGCATGGTATCTTATTTTCAGCAAGCCATAGACTGGTACATCCTGTACCAGCATCTCCTCAGAAGTTTTATACACCTTTATATATTTGTGTACCCTAGCTACTGTGCTGCATCTGTAACAACGCAGTGTAATCGAATGCTTAGGGAACTTAACATGACAACAGATGAAGACTGGCCAACAGGACACCCATTCTGCAACCGCTCCCAGCTGGCACTCTTCCTACAGTATGCACAGTACACCAATTGTGGCTTTCAAGTTGGGGAGATTGCTTTTGGTGCTAATTTCGCATGGTTTTCAACTCCAGTTGCAATGTGTGGCTTGGGTGTGAAAGTCTTGTGATTCATACTAAACAATTCACAAGTCACTGTCAGTCAATGGCAACTGTCACTAATTGGTAAGCAAGCAAGCAGAAAAACGAATGGGGATAAGCAAGAAAGGTAAAACCAAAGATCTCTATTTCAGTAATACAACTTTTGGTTCTGCCTTGAGATTAGTGTGCGTTTGGAGCATGGACCTTATATTTTTGGAAAAACCCAGCCTCATCCTTAGCTGGGAAAAATTATTTCCAAGAGGAGAATTTCAAATAGTCTCAATTTTAGATAACATGCAGCTGAGAATTTAAAGTTTCTGATCAAACCAAAGTGAGAAAGAGCACAACATTTACCTGAAAATAACACTATGGGAAGTCAAACGTATCATGTGTTAAGGGTAAAATATCTTAAACGTCAATCAATCAATCAGGGGTTATTCCAAATGACTCTTTAGCTCTGTTTGGGCCCCTTTCCCTCAGAAGCTTTGTACTCTCATATTGAGGCAATATAGATGCAAACCAAGGGATAGGGTGTAGTTTTCGAGGTGCTCAATCCATCCTTCCTCCTCGGCCCTTTTGGTAGTGTGGATCACGGGATCTAAGCCTATAAACTGCTGTCACAAACCTGAACTACCTACAAGCCAATTTTTTTTTATGCAACCATGTTTACTCTAAAAGTTAACGCTTTGTGAGTCCTTTATGAATATCGCCGTCGAGAAAATAGGTCACAAAAACGTCCTACTGTATTTACATAAACCCTCTCTAATTAGACACTCGTATTTGGGCACAAAACCTCCATCGAAGGAGCTTTTGCAGATGCCATGCTTAAAATAGTTTCGAAAGGAGGCTGTGTTGAAGTACTGAAATGCAAGTCTAGTTTTATTATTCCACTAATAGAATGAAATAACGACTTGAAATACCCCGTACTTGTCGAGTTATCCGTCCCGATTGTAAGTTACCGTGTGGATTTTTCCCCATAAATCAACGGGAAAAGATACTATAGATATCTATTTTATCTCCGAGGTTAATTAGGCGCCCAGGAAAGAATACGTGCAAATTTAGCGGTTCGTACGGGAGAATACACAGCCGTTTTTAGTGTCGTCACGCAACACACCTCACCATCACTGTGGGGAGGAGCATTGCGTGACGACCCTAAAAACGGCTCTGTAGCAGACTAGGGAGAATACGTCTTGTCCGATCACAGCGCGGCGGGTACTAACCTGAGAGATATACTAATACAAATTATGATTAATTAAAGGTGATTTGCCTAGCGCCAGCCTTTCTTTATAACGAACCCTCATCAAATGAATAAGGATTCTAAAGCTAGTATGGCGCTGCTTGATCAACTGAGTTTACAAAGTAAATTGGCCACCGTAGAGAGATTCAGGAGAAGCTGACGATTCGACAACTAGTCCTTCGTCATAGCGGATCTGACGAACGGATAACCGCGTTGGAACATCACCTTTTTAATCTTACTTAGTTGTTAAATGACCATTTTCAAAAAGGGAAAGACAGGCATACAGGGCAGGGTATATACTTTTTACGTTCTTTAAGATACAAAAAATTCTAAGGAATAAGATTATCATGGTATACCAATTTTAGTGTAATGTTGCGGTTAGAAAACTCGTTACTATCAAATGGTAGATGCACACTATACATGTATCGTTCATGACACGTACGAAAAGGAACTATTTGTTTCACGCAAAAGTTGCCCATTTAAGGGAACCCAAGACAGTCTTGGATTCTGTATCCCACGCTGTGATTCCAGGTACTAGATTCCAGAATCTTTGTCGGAGGAACTTGGATTCTTGGCGAGGGTCTTTGTATATAAAGAATCTAATCAGCAATAAGTGAAAATATTAAACAAAAGAAGCAAGGCTGATTTTACAGTCGGAAATAAATATATATTTTTTTTACCAATATTCTACCGGCCTTCCTTCTTCACGGTCTTCATAGACCCTGAAGAAGGAAGGCCGTGCCTTCCGAAATATTGGTAAAAATATATATATATTTAATATTCCCGACTGTAAAATCAGCCTTGCTTCTTTTGTTTATCATTACAATTACCCTGTTTAGGAAAAACGACAAAATGTACGCCGTCTTGTTTTTAAGCCATTTACTGGCAATTGCAATAGACTAAATTCACGTTATAGTCATTGCTTTTATATAGATGGTTTTCACTGTGACGTCATCAAATTGTAAAGTCAAAATAGCGAGGTTTTACGAATTCTTATTTACACTAGGTTGAAGATAAACAAAAAGTTAATCTTTGTACAAGTTTGCATTTCCGTAGCATTTTCGTTTCGAAAATACAGCAATTTGAACTTCCGAGTTTTCACAGTGCGTGACACCAAAATAGGAATGCTGTCTCGTTGCAAAAAAGTCTCTCCTCTTGATTTTCAGCAGTGTAACCACTTCAAGTATCAGAAGATATGTTTATGCGTAGGTATGCTAGTTCTCGAGTGAAAAGAAAGAGCTTTTTTAGAAAAAGTGAACTCCAGATGTTTTTTGTTGTTTTCCGGCGGCCATATTTGGTGCACCAACATGGCGTCTCCATACAAAGCTCTACAAAGGTACCTGAAACGTTTCGGCAAATAACTCAGAAACTATGGGCCACAAAGACCTGAGACTTGGACAAAATGTTTATATATTAGTCTTTTACAACATTTCCCTTTCTTGGCTTCTTCCACTGGACGGTTTCCAATTGAATTTTTTGTTGCGTGACTGTGAAAACGATCTATACTTGGAGTAAAACCCGGAAACCTGTTTATAATTAGGACAGACTCGCAAAAAATTATATACCCTGTTTAGGACAGACTCGCGCGGCAGAGAGGTAAAAAAAAACACACCCTTTCAAGCGGCACATCCCCGTATAGGCCATATATGGGAGTAACCCCGGGGGGACCTACCCGACAAAGGATCCATTGCGTGACTTTCTTAGCAACAAGCCCCGTGCGGCGTCGTTGCGGAAGTAAACACCTCAGCCCTGAGCAATGGAGGAGAACGAGGAACTATTCGATGACTCCGTGAGTGAGCGAATCAACCATTCCTCTTCTCAGAGATCCCTTTCTACTACTGTGTTCAACATTCTGTGCGGATTAAAAAACCTCTTTTGTTCTGGCATGTTTGTAAAGGGATCGGCGTTTGTCGTAGGTTTCTGGCATCCCAGCAGAGGACTCCGCGCTATAATGGCCGTAATTCTTTTGCTTGTGGATATATATTTCGTCATTGCCTCTTTGTTTACGGCTTTCATCTGCAGGCGGTCCCAAACGCCCCTGAACACTTGGCTTTGTGGACTTACTTCCTCCACAAATTCATCATCTACAAGTTTAGCAGATAATTTAGGTGGAATTGAACTGGTTGATCTTCTGTCATTGGCTTCATTCTCTGCTGTACTGATGTCAAACGCGACATTCTTTTGGTGTATGTGGAAATTACAACAAAGGACAGTTTACTGCGTGACCTTGGAGAAGGCTTTCTCTACAGCAGGGCGTTCTATTTGGGTCACACTTAATGTCTCGATGTTGATCTTTGGTTTCTTTTTAGTTGTAGGGGTATTTTGGTTCTATTTCAATTTCAAAGAATCGTCCTATGGTATTTTTCTAAATTTGATGAGCGATTTACCAGCGTGGGCCACCCTCACCAGCTCCTGGATGTTTGTGGTTATTACCAGCGCAATGAAACATTGCGTGATGCAGTGCCAAGCAGAAATTAGACAAAGCTCTATTGACTGCAGCTTAGATGACGTCATTCGTATTCATAAACGTCTTTGCAAACAGATGTCAAGCACATCCGAGTCCCTAAAGGTCTGGTTTGTAACTCACTGGTTTATGTCAGCTGTTGTGGTTGTCATTTATGTTGCAAGCATGCTGTCATTTTTTGAGCAAGTCATAGATTGGTACTATTTGTACCATCATGTCGTCGTAAGTCTTCTAATCATTTACGTATTTGTATATCCAAGCTACTGTGCTGCATCTGTAACAACGCAGTCTGGTCGAATGCTTAGGGAACTTAACATGACAACAGATGAAGACTGGCCCACAGGACACCCATTCTGCAACCGCTCCCAGCTGGCACTCTTCCTACAGTATGCACAGTACACCAATTGTGGCTTTCAAGTTGGGGAGATTGCTTTTGGTGCTAATTTCGCATGGTTTTCAACTCTAATTGCAATGTGTGGCTTGGGTGTGAAAGTCTTGTGATTCATACTAAACAATTCACAAGTCACTGTCAGTCAATGGCAACTGTCACTGATTGGTAAGCAAGCAGAAAAACGAATGGGGATAAGCAAGAAAGGTAAAACCAAAGATCTCTATTTCAGTAATACAACTTTTGGTTCTGCCTTGAGATTAGTGTGCGTTTGGAGCATGGACCTTATATTTTTGGAAAAACCCAGCCTCATCCTTAGCTGGGAAAAATTATTTCCAAGAGGAGAATTTCAAATAGTCTCAATTTTAGATAACATGCAGCTGAGAATTTAAAGTTTCTGATCAAACCAAAGTGAGAAAGAACACAACATTTACCTGAAAATAACACTATGGGAAGTCAAACGTATCATGTGTTAAGGGTAAAATATCTTAAACGTCAATCAATCAATCAAGGGTTATTTCAAATCACTCTTTAGCTCTCTTTGGGCCCTCTTCCCTCAGAAGCTTTGTTCTCACATATTGAGGCAATATAGATGCAAACCAAGGGATAGGGTGTAGTTTTCGAGGTGCTCAATCCATCTCTACTCCTCGGCCTTTTTGGTAGCGTGGATCACCGGATCTATGCCTATAAACTCAGCCTTCTTCTCAGGTGCTTCGTTTTTCGCAAGGTAGAGGCGAGTGACTGGTGATGAACCGCAGGAGACCATGGGAAGGGTACAGACGCGCCTTCCCTTTTACGCGCACATTTTCATCGAGAGAGAGACGTCTGGGTAAGAGGCGGCTATAAACTACTGTCAAAGACCTGAACTACCTACAAGCCAATTTTTTTTACATACTAACAGAATGATGCAGCTATGTTTTCTCTAAAGTTAACGCTTTGTGGGTCCTTTATGAATATCCCCGTCGAGAAAAGGCTTATGGTACTTTGCGAAACGAAACGAAACGAAACGAAACGAAACGAAACGGTACTTTGCGAAACGGTACTTTGCGAAACTGTACTTTGCGAAATGGTACTTTGCGGAATGGTACTTTGCGAAACGGTACTTTGCGAAACGGTTACACAAGCGCCAATGCGCCTAAATTTTTCGCGTTGGCGACCAAATCCTGAAAATTAGCAGCCTAGAATGCTTCATCACACCTTATCTCTAGTACCTAGAATGCTACTGAAAGCTTAAGATTTGTTTCCAAAGAGCAGCATGTATTACCAGACGCCATCTTGGATTTAGGTGACTTGGATCGTTGCGTATGAACTATTTTAGTGTCGTCTTTGTAACACGTTGTTAAATTTACACGTGTTACACAGAGGACACTAAAATGGTTCATACACAACGTTCAAGTCACCTAAATCCAAGATGGCGTCTGGTAATACATGCTGCTCTTTGGAAACAGACTTAACGAGGAAATTTGCTCCAGGTTTATCTTTACAAATCTTCAGCTTTCATTGGAATTCTAGGTACTCTAGATAAGGTGTGATGAAGCATTGTGTTGTGACCGTTTCGCAAAGTACCGTTTCGTTTCGTTTCGTTTCGCAAAGTACCATAAGCCTCGAGAAAACAGGTCACAAAAACGTCCTACTGTATTTACATAAACCCCCTCTAATTAGAGACTCGTATTTGGGCACAAAACCTCCATCGAAGGAGCTTTTACAGATAACATGCTAAAAATGGTTTCGAAAGGAAGCTGTGTTGAAGTACTGAAATGCAAGTCTAGTTTTATTATTCCACTAATAGAATGAAATAACGACTTGAAATACCCCTTAATTGTCAAGTTATCCGTCCGTATTGTAAGTTACCGAGTGGATTTTTTCCCAGAAATCAACGGGAAAAATGAGGATTCGCAACTAGGGACCCAGAAAAAGAGATTGTAAAGATACTATAGGATATCTATTTTATCTCCGAGGTTAATTAGGCGCCCAGGAAAGAATACTTGCAAATTTAGCGGCTCGTACCGGAGAATATAGTCTGCTACACAGCCGTTTTTAGTGTCGTCACGCAACACTCCTCCCCATCACTGTGGGGAGGAGCATTGCGTGACGACCCTAAAAACGGCTGTGTAGCAGACTAGGGAGAATACGACCCTCAAAATTGTCTAATCACAGCGCGGGTACTAACCTGAGAGATATACGTAATAAAAATTATGATTAATTAAAGGTGATTTGCTCAGCGCCAGCCTTTCTTTATAACGAACCCTCATCAAATGAATAAGGATTCTAAAGCTAGTATGGTGCTGCTTGATCAACTGAGTTTACAAAGTAAATTGGCCACCGTAGAGAGATTGAGACTGCTGACGATCCGACAACTAGTCCTTCGTCATAGCGGATCTGACGAACGGATAACCGCGTTGGAACATCAGCTTTTTAATGTTACTTAGTTGTTAAGATCAAACTTTAGTTGCGAATCCTTATCAGATCGATTCCGGCGCTCTGTCGCATTTTTTATCCCTGCATGAACTTTTAATATAATGTTGAATTTTCGTAATTCTTCGCGTTGAATTGTACAAAGGCGTAACAAATAATTGAATTGATTCTCTTAACCACAAATGGTCAATATCAAACCACTCTCAAGATTATATTTGAAAACACTTTATTCTGCAATTCATTATATACATTGATCACATTTCTTAAAGCGGATTATACAAAATAAATATCCTGTTAAACGCATGCGCGATAGCAAACTAATTTTCGTCCGTTTACTTCGTCCGGGGATTTTCGTACGCTTCACTATAAATAGAACCGGGTATGTTCAGGTTCCGTTTGGAAGAGAGAAAGTATGCTTGTGAATGGAAGATGTGCATGTATACGATCAGCTTTTGACCTCGCTTGCTGGTCTGATTGAGACTGGAGTTTTAAAGCGACAAGGCCGTTCTTAAATTTATGATGTGATTGTAGAGTTTCACTGAGGGTCCTAGTTTTAAGTTCATTCCCTTCATTAGCATCTCAGGGGACAATGAAAGCAGTGCTTTACCATCAATCTCCTACAACGGAACAAAAATTAAATACAAATTATGAAAGATGGCAAAATGACACCTTTTTGATTGGTAACTGCGTTAAACCTGGACTGTTAAATGACCATTTTCAAAAAGGGAAAGACACGCTTAACTACAGCGTACAGGGCAGTAGCCTCCCACGCAGACGTTCTTACGGGTTCGTCACGCAATCTTTCCTCCCCCACGTGGGGTAGGAACGCGTGACGAACCTCTAAGAACGTTTGCGTGGGAGGCTAACAGGGCAGGGTATATACTTTTTACGTTCTTTAAGATAAGAAAAAATCTGAGGAATAAGATTATCATGGTATGCCAATTTTAGTGTAATGTTGCGGATAGAAAACTCGTTACTATCAAACGGTAGATGGACACTATACATGTATCGTTCATGACACGTACAAAAAGGAGCTATTTGTTTCACGCAAAAGTTGCCCATTTAAGGGAACCCAAGAGAGTCTTGGATTCTGTATCCCACGCTGTGATTCCAGGTACTAGATTCCAGAATCTTTGTCGGAGGAACTTGGATTCCGGATCCAATCGTAACTGGGGCTTCGGATTCCTTACGCTGTCTTCCGGATTCCAAAGCCTAGGATTCCGGATTCGACAAATCAAATTTTACGGATTCCAGATTCCACAAGCAACCATTTCCCAGATTCCGGAATCCGGATTTTCTTATATGGGAGATAAAAGGTTAAACGTCTTTGACGTACGTCCACTGTCTACAACATTAGGCTGATTTAGTGACAGAACGGGAACGTCATTTGACGACAGGAAAGCGCGCAGAAAGGACTAAGCTCGACTTCCGGTGCTCAATTTGCCGCTCAGCCATTGGTCAAGCCAGTTGTTTGATTTGCGTGCGCCGTCGTCAACTGACGTTCCCGTTCTGGTGCTAAATCAGCCTTCGAGAACACTGCAGGGCACTAAGACTAGTGCCTGCATCAAACTGAATGAAGCTATACCACATAAACATACACCATTTGCAGGAAGCCATTACGACACCTGAAGAAAGATCATGAGGTTATCCCTGTATTAAGATCTCTCCTTACAGATAACCCACCCTTCCCAGGGAAGGTTGGCCACACCGCCGGGGTCTACATCCCCTATTTTTTTTCGAACAGACGTAGGGTTCTTTTACGTCCCACAAGAGCCAGCTAAGTGAAAGTGCTGTTAGACGGAACCCACGGGTTTCGTCCTTATCCTAGAAGGCTAGAAAGTCTAATCGTTTGCAGAAGTCACTGCCGTAGTCTGTAGTTATTCCATTCTTTTACAGGAACTTCTCTTTATCGTGCTAAAGCTGAAAGTACTGTTATGTACACAAGTCTGCTAAGTTCAAAGAAGGAAAGTCAAATTCGAAAATCCTTAATTGTCAAGTTATCCGTCCGTATTGTAAGTTACCGAGTGGATTTTTTCCCAGAAATCAACGGGAAAAATGAGGATTCGCAACTAGGGACCCAGAAAAAGAGATTGTAAAGATACTATAGGATATCTATTTTATCTCCGAGGTTAATTAGGCGCCCAGGAAAGAATACTTGCAAATTTAGCGGCTCGTACCGGAGAATATAGCCTGCTACACAGCCGTTTTTAGTGTGGTCACGCAACACTCCTCCCCATCACTGTGGGGAGGAGCATTGCGTGACGACCCTAAAAACGGCTGTGTAGCAGACTAGGGAGAATACGACCCTCAAAATTGTCTAATCACAGCGCGGGTACTAACCTGAGAGATATACGTAATAAAAATTATGATTAATTAAAGGTGATTTGCTCAGCGCCAGCCTTTCTTTATAACGAACCCTCATCAAATGAATAAGGATTCTAAAGCTAGTATGGTGCTGCTTGATCAACTGAGTTTACAAAGTAAATTGGCCACCGTAGAGAGATTGAGACTGCTGACGATCCGACAACTAGTCCTTCGTCATAGCGGATCTGACGAACGGATAACCGCGTTGGAACATCAGCTTTTTAATGTTACTTAGTTGTTAAGATCAAACTTTAGTTGCGAATCCTTATCAGATCGATTCCGGCGCTCTGTCGCATTTTTTATCCCCGCATGAACTTTTAATATAATGTTGAATTTTCGTAATTCTTCGCGTTGAATTGTACAAAGGCGTAACAAATAATTGAATTGATTCTCTTAACCACAAATGGTCAATATCAAACCACTCTCAAGATTATATTTGAAAACACTTTATTCTGCAATTCATTATATACATTGATCACATTTCTTAAAGCGGATTATACAAAATAAATATCCTGTTAAACGCATGCGCGATAGCAAACTAATTTTCGTCCGTTTACTTCGTCCGGGGATTTTCGTACGCTTCACTATAAATAGAACCGGGTATGTTCAGGTTCCGTTTGGAAGAGAGAAAGTATGCTTGTGAATGGAAGATGTGCATGTATACGATCAGCTTTTGACCTCGCTTGCTGGTCTGATTGAGACTGGAGTTTTAAAGCGACAAGGCCGTTCTTAAATTTATGATGTGATTGTAGAGTTTCACTGAGGGTCCTAGTTTTAAGTTCATTCCCTTCATTAGCATCTCAGGGGACAATGAAAGCAGTGCTTTACCATCAATCTCCTACAACGGAACAAAAATTAAATACAAATTATGAAACATGGCAAAATGACACCTTTTTGATTGGTAACTGCGTTAAACCTGGACTGTTAAATGACCATTTTCAAAAAGGGAAAGACACGCTTAACTACAGCGTACAGGGCAGTAGCCTCCCACGCAGACGTTCTTACGGGTTCGTCACGCAATCTTTCCTCCCCCACGTGGGGTAGGAACGCGTGACGAACCTCTAAGAACGTTTGCGTGGGAGGCTAACAGGGCAGGGTATATACTTTTTACGTTCTTTAAGATAAGAAAAAATCTGAGGAATAAGATTATCATGGTATGCCAATTTTAGTGTAATGTTGCGGATAGAAAACTCGTTACTATCAAACGGTAGATGGACACTATACATGTATCGTTCATGACACGTACAAAAAGGAGCTATTTGTTTCACGCAAAAGTTGCCCATTTAAGGGAACCCAAGAGAGTCTTGGATTCTGTATCCCACGCTGTGGGACTAGGTACTAGATTCCAGAATCTTTGTCGGAGGAACTTGGATTCCGGATCCAATCGTAACTGGGGCTTCGGATTCCTTACGCTGTCTTCCGGATTCCAAAGCCTAGGATTCCGGATTCGACAAATCAAATTTTACGGATTCCAGATTCCACAAGCAACCATTTCCCAGATTCCGGAATCCGGATTTTCTTATATGGGAGATAAAAGGTTAAACGTCTTTGACGTACGTCCACTGTCTACAACATTAGGCTGATTTAGTGACAGAACGGGAACGTCATTTGACGACAGGAAAGCGCGCAGAAAGGACTAAGCTCGACTTCCGGTGCTCAATTTGCCGCTCAGCCATTGGTCAAGCCAGTTGTTTGATTTGCGTGCGCCGTCGTCAACTGACGTTCCCGTTCTGGTGCTAAATCAGCCTTCGAGAACACTGCAGGGCACTAAGACTAGTGCCTGCATCAAACTGAATGAAGCTATACCACATAAACATACACCATTTGCAGGAAGCCATTACGACACCTGAAGAAAGATCATGAGGTTATCCCTGTATTAAGATCTCTCCTTACAGATAACCCACCCTTCCCAGGGAAGGTTGGCCACACCGCCGGGGTCTACATCCCCTATTTTTTTTCGAACAGACGTAGGGTTCTTTTACGTCCCACAAGAGCCAGCTAAGTGAAAGTGCTGTTAGACGGAACCCACGGGTTTCGTCCTTATCCTAGAAGGCTAGAAAGTCTAATCGTTTGCAGAAGTCACTGCCGTAGTCTGTAGTTATTCCATTCTTTTACAGGAACTTCTCTTTATCGTGCTAAAGCTGAAAGTACTGTTATGTACACAAGTCTGCTAAGTTCAAAGAAGGAAAGTCAAATTCGAAAAAAAAATTAATATCAATACATTTTTCTAAGGGGCAATACAAAAACGACTGCGAGTATCACCTTGTGTAATCTCTCAGCTTTGGCGGTACCCAGACTTGACATTTTGGCAAAAATCAGAGATTGTATTACAAACCTGCTCTAAAAATAACTCCGCCTTATCTGCGCAATCCGTAGCAGCAATGAAATCCGCCACATTTTTCACGCTCCATTTCGTCAGCTCCTTGTCGCATATTGCATTAGTCTTTATGTACTCGACCAGTGGAGGACTGGGCTCCACGCCTTGATTTACCGCCACCACCTCTCGCGGAACCAGCTTGGCCCGAACATAAACCGACATCGGGTTGAAAATGGCTTCTTGATTGTTCAACACCGTTTGGTTTGGCGCAATTTCCTGTATTCGACATAAAGGCGGGTAAGGAGGCTTTCCTTGTGAAGCTGATAGCGTGCCGCCTGAAATCTCTTGAACCAGCGACGGTGCAGAGCTGGGCGGAATCGCACTTCCCCTCGATAGACCGACGCTGTGTGTAGTTATCGTTTTCAGAATGTTAACTAAGGAGTTCTTACTGCTGCCGCCTGTTGAGCATCCAGTCGTATTGACCGAGTCAGTCCGCGAAGGATTTAACGCGGCGGTATCGCTGATTAAGTCGCAACATGAGTGAACTCTTGATTTGGAATGGATATGATCACTGTACAGTGCGGGTGGCGCCTGTGAACCCGACAGAAGCTTCCCCGTAGCGGGGACACACCCAGTATGCACTTCCTTTAAGGCAGTCATTGAGTTCGGACTAGGATAAGGGCGGGTCACGTAGTGTCCAACTGTCGTACAACTGCCGTTCAGACTACATTCGCTTCTAACATGATTAGGCGCGCGTCCCTCCAGTGGTGACATCGATTTGTCCCCCACCCGGGGCGTCCGTTGTGCTCCAGCTGGCACAAATGCATAAGCCGCTTCTCTGGTGCTTGCCTTGTATACAGGCAAAAGGTAACCTGGCCTGGGGTTAGTGGGAGTCCCAGGAGTGGGAGATGGGACTGGGGCCTTCGCTAAGTAAACGATACATTTGGAATCGACAGGAACCGACGGCATTGCTACTTGAACTTTAACCGCGGCTGATGTGGTCGTCATGGTTACCGGTGATGTCTTGCAAATCGAAACTGGGTTAGATTTTGTAGGAGATTTTTTAGCTGCGAAGAAGTTAAAGTTTGGAGTTTCGTCGCGCCGATTTTGCAGGGAATAGCACTGCTTTATCTGAGGCATAGCTTCTTCTATAAAATGAAAACAAAAGAGAAAATACAGAACTACTGTAAGCCATCACCTAGTATGATGCTAATCAGTCCGGGTGAGCCCCAAGGGGAACGCCGGGTGCCATTTTTACACTGCTGCAACGTCGTGGCAAATAGCATCAGGCCCCAAAGCTCATGTGGGAGAGGTGGGTGAAGAGTGTCCAGAGAAGAAAGCGTGACGAGCACTAAGAATGGGTTTCCCTCGAAAACAGAACAATACAATACTTTTCGTTAACACTATTGTTTCGTAATTTTTTTTCACCTCTCACAAAGAAACGCTACTTTGCGCTCATCAGTTGAGAGATTCTGGAAATACAAAGGCCTCTATCTCGTGGCTCCCTGCTGTCGCGTCGAGCGACCGCGGCGAGCGGCGTGGAGCGATTAGGGCTTGGCTAAAGGGGGAAATTTCATATATCCCATGATGCTTCGCGGCAAATTTGTCTCCTCTCTCCGCGGTGGAAAGAGCGTTCGAGGGTTTCGAGGGAGATTTTCAGCGACCTGAATCTCAAGATGCAGCTCATCCAATGTAAGTTTTAATGAGCCGTGTTAATCTTTGGTATCTTATTAATAATGTAAAATGGTCCCATGGTCATTTCACGCATTATTGCTCTCGTTTACGACCCCGTTAAGCCATGCTGTTTTAACTCGCAAGTGAATATTTATTTAGATGACTTTCAGTTATCGAAAACTGTCTTTATTCTAGCAAGGTTTTGCCCTCATAAATTATTTAAATCGGCGGGCAAGGGGTGCTTGATACTAGTTCCACGCTCCGACCTCTTTCGACCACGCGATTTTTATGGGTTTGATCGTTTTGAAATATCGCATTTTCTGCCCTTCCTCCACTAAGATGCAAGACGAAGGTTTCAATTTCTTTATGCTAAGTCCCGCGAAGATGGAACATTTTTTCTTGAATTCGCCCTTTTTTCGTCGATCAAAACACAAATATTATCTCTTGGGGGTATGATGAATGTTTAAATTCAATGGTTTATAGTTATTGAAGCTTTTTTGTCTCATTATTTTAGGTAAATTGGTGCCTTCCGGTCGCAACCGCGCGAGGGGAACTTGAAATATACAGGGCACTAAATGTCATGGAATAGCACGCCGTAGGACCTCAACCGGCGTATAAAAGCTTTTAAGACATTTTGATCATTCTTTTAGGATCCATTGTAGTGAAGAAGTGGGTGTTTTTGTATATGTATTGTGCCATTTCTTATTAAAGCTCTTTTCTGTTTATGTTTGACAATGATGCTTAGCTCGTGTTGTGTTACGAAAAATATGGAGATGTCTTTGTTATTTTTATTGTTTGTTGGAGCTATTTCCCTCCTTTGAATTTTATCTCCGATAGACGTCACTTTGCTCTTTAACGGTCTCGGTATTTTCGACTACATAAGCCGAGCTTGTTGAAGTAAAAGCGTGTGCAGTCACTGTACGGTTGATGTACTGCATCGATGAATTATTGAACTGACAATATGAACACCCCGATCACAAACAAGCAACTAAGAGAAATCTCACACCTAGAATATGTATTTATTTCAAGACAAGTCGTGGAAATCGCCTGTTAATTCATGGAGAGCTTTGTCAAGAGCTTTGCACGTTAAAACAGGACGTACTGAAGCAAAGACCTTCCTCGCTAGCTTCTTAGAACGTTTGTGTGGACTGCGTTGCTATCGTAAGTCTAGTTAACTCATAATCGGCGGGCAAAACACTCTCTTTGACTTAACAAGAGATATATTTGGAATAGTAAAACGAAAATCGTAAATAGACCGACGCAGCAAAGGTACAGAAAGTTTTATCGGCAGAACAAATCGCTTTCCGCTGCTGTTCAACTGTCACGTCCCTGTTGAACTGATAGCATCACGTGCGTTCGGAAGCTTGATAATATAGTATGAAGCGATGCATCATGGGATATATGAAATTCCCCCCTTTGGCTTGGCTTATCTTAAAGGGGCGATGTCACTAGGATATTGTTGTTTTAGGTCAATTCTGTGCTGAAGTCATTACATAGTGCCTTTAACCATACATAGAATGCCCCTGTAGAGTTAAGAATGAAGATCTCAAACAAATTTTCTCAGGGAGCACTAACCATAATAAGCTCTGGGAGGATTTTTGCAGGGATAGCATTAAAACTTAAGAAAGTTTCAATCCATGTCCATCCTTGCCATCCGACGTTGCAACAAACGGCAGGAGACAGTCAAATAGATAAACATATGTCTTAAATGACATTATACTACTACATAAGAAATTTCTGCAATTTGATTGGCTTAGAGCAGTGGTGTTTCAGCTTAATTTGAAATACCTACATGTGAAAATTACAAACCTTTTGCGGGTAGTAGTATAAACAAATAATAGCATGATTTGTACGTGATATTTGGCATAAATACCACTGGTGGTATTTCAAAATTTTCTCAAATTTCACTCGCCTAACGGCTCGTCAAATTACGTATACGTTACGTATAACAATTTCGAAATATCACTTGTGGTATTTATGCCAAATATTACTACAAATCATGCTATTATCTATACAAATTGAGTCATTAGTTTATGAATTCAGTTGATGCGAAGGCAGCAAACAGCGTGACATTGCCTCTTTAAACAACTGCACCTTGACATACCAAACTTTGAGTGTACAAACATCATGAAGTCGACTCGAAACTTTTGAGTTCTAGGCACTTAAAGCTAACATCAAGGGTGTCTTAAACAGGCCAGTGAAGACTGACGCCATGGTAACTTCATCTCTTGTGACGCTTTTAAAAGTCTTAAAAGTGGTCCTAATTTGGCAACAACTCTTCTGGTTAGCCATTTGTTTTGCACTAGGCTAGCAGCAACTGACATGAGAGGTAAACTAAGATCAGGCCAAATTGTATTTGCTAACCAAATGGAGGGATAGCGTGCATCTTATCCACAAAGTGGTGCCTCAGTCGAAAACTATAATACGTGGAAGTTTAACATTTGCGTGGTGAGCGGGGTGTAGGTTGAAGATAACAAAATCATGTACCTTTATCGTTTTCTGGTTGATCTACGCTTTTATGACTGGGTCTTATTACTACTGCACTATTCGCAGAACTTGAAATCGTGACCGGCTAGAAAAAGATATAAAATAAAAACGTTAAACATTGTAATTAAGCAGAAGTAAATTAAAATAAAGAAAATTAGAACAAGTCCTTTTCCCATTTTCCTCTCTTCTCCGCTATGTTGTTGGCTCTCCGGAATAAAGTTTGTGGACAATATAGGTAAAAAGTTCCAACTTGTTATTCCCTTGGTACAAGTAGCTACACCTCTCGCGTCAAAAGCCCTACATCCGCCCGAGGCAAGTTTAAACTGCCAACACTGTCTAGCCTACGTGGCAGGAGAGCAATGAAGAACAGGAAGAAAGGAAGTCGCGCGCGCTAAAACGCGAAGAACGCGCTCCGTTCTCGTTTTTCGCGCCCCCGAATTTTCCCTCCCCATTCCCCTTCAGAGCTTACCAGGCGCGCAGGCAGACCTTTAATGAATAAAGGACAGACTTTCTCTAGCTTACCCCATTTTCTCTCGCTATACTCTCCAGCGTCGTTGGCTTGTCAACACGCATGAGAGAAGGCTAAAATTATTGAAAAATGAATGCATATAAATAATTAGTTGATTAACTAATTAGTTTAGAGTCTCTTTAACAATCATTTTATTGTAAAATTTCCATCACTCGGCTGCTTTGGGTGAGGCGAAAACGTAAGCCGGAAAAGAAAATCTGTATTGAAAACAGAGCCTTAGCTAGCAAGAGTTCAGAACGAGACAAGACTTGGTTCAGAACATAATGTTTAGTTTTAAAATGATCTTCAGTCGAACAAGATTAATCAGTTTCTTCTGAAAAAAATAGGTGATGAAAAATTCTGAAGATAACCCGGTTTTGGACCCTCTAGATGTAAAATTTTTCTGGAGGGTATGCCTCCCCACCTACCCCTCCCACGGCGTGTCCCTCGTCTCCAGTCTGCCTCCCGTGATCTTGTATGTCAAGAGTTGTCAATAAATCAGATACAATATCTACATTAAATCGTCTGTGAGAAGAAACCAATCTTCTTCCCGAGGGTTTACAGTATATATTGCCGGCTTCGAAAAAAGATTAATTTCCAATTTATATGTAAATTTATTTACGCGATATGCTTCTCCAAGAAAGACGAATTGTTTATTCGTTCTATCTTCCCTTTTGTGTAATAGTTTTTTTTCCCTTACTCTTCTTCTCCCTTGTATTTGTAAGTTAAATGCAGATGCAAAAATACTTAAAATCATTCTGGCGTTGCTATGAAGCGGGCATAATCTAAAATACTGCTTTTCAATAGGAGTTCTGACTGATTTTCATAAACTGTCGAAATCACACGAAATGACTGCGCGGTTATCTAAATTAGCTTAAATTCACCGTAAAGACCTTATTTCAATCGCATGTTTTACGAACGTGTTCGACTTTCTTTTGAATTTGGATCACAAGTGAAAAGCGAAAGTTGCCGACACACTGATTTGGAAGCAAGACCAGTTATAACTCAGCTTGATCACTTTGAAAAGGTCTATTCGCCCAATATTTGTATTAATTTCGTCCTTACTTTTTTCTTTTGTTTTGTGACAACAAAGTGTCAAAAGTGTATAAATTATCAAATTCGCTTGGTTCAGAGTCAGGGATATTTAATATATATATACAGCTATTTCGGGGAAGCCAGTTGTCGGGTAAACGGCACGCGACAACCCCGAAGGGTTTTGTGGGTGGTAGTTTGAGTTCTCTGTTTTTCAAAGAAATTTGAAAGAATGGCAGGAGAGGCCATGGCCATATGTCTGCGGGTGCTAAAGGAAACTAACAAAAGTAGGTTCGAAAGCTACAGTGTCAAGAGCAGTGTATTGTGCATATTCCATATTACCTTTGGGAATGGTCGCGTGCACATTTTTTCCTACAACCTTTCTCGAAATAGCTGTATATAAAATCTTCTTCGATAAAAGGCGCTCAAAACTGAATCGTCAAGGAATATAGCAATCGAAGCTTAACGAGTCCCGCTTCGTCAGTAATTATTTTTCAAAAATTTGGTAAAGTTAATAAAATTTGAGCGTAAAAGAATATTGATAAGTTTAAATTGAAATTACTCTTCAATTTCTGCGGTGAGCGTTAAGGTATATGTACTTCATCATCAAATGTTTTCTAAGCGATTGATAATGCTTCGTATTAAAATTCAGGGTAACTTAGAAAACTTAAATTTAGATACTTGTAAGGATGAAAAATTTGGTTAAACATTTTGTATAAAGATTATTATCACAAAAACAAAACTACATTTCGACGAACGCGGTCTGTTTTTCTTTGATAATTTTCCTTTTGAACATCATTCCCGGTGAAAATTTCCATTAACTCCAATAATTAGGGGATTCATTTCAAACACCTTTTTGAATTTTTCTTCACTCATGCAAACCGAGTTTACAGCAGCGCATTCGTTTTCTTTGCACAAAGCATGCTGTAATCGAATCCCACGCAAATTTTAAGGTATCAAAAAAAAAACGCGAACTTCATGCACATTCGATCTGCCTACCATTTCGTCGATATCACCATCAATGTATATAGCCTCTAGCTTTCTTTTTCTGTTTGTCCTATCCGGCTGTGCATTTGTTGGTTCCAGGCGTAAAAGCTTTTGTATTGCGACAGGATTTGCCTCATTGCTGTTCCCAGCTTTTTCCGGCCCTGTGAAATAAGAACGTAGGACTTTAAATCTAGCTGCCATTTCTAAGCGGATAGCTTAAAGCACCAAAAGCCGAGAAAATTCTCTCCGCCACGTGCATCGTTTGTTATTTGTTAATTCTTTCTGGCAAAGTTTGGTCGCGCTAGCAAATAAATATATTCATATTCCCGTGGTAACAGATGATAACAGATATTGCGAAGTCAATTTGATTAACAATTATTTTACCAGAGGGGCTGACTGATATTAACATTTACTTTGATCGTGGTCTGCTGATTTTGATTTTATTCTATCCAAGGCGGAGGCTATATAACCAAGCGCAATTCCCCGGGGAAATCCCTTTAATCAGTTTTTTTTTTGCCGGGGAAGGGTTTGCCCCTGGGAACCTGAAACCCCCTGGTTCCCTCGTTTCCCGTTCATCTCCTTCTTTCTTCACTTTTTCACGGCCCAAAGCGATATTTGTATGGGTAAAAGCATTGACGTTCCGTCTGGAACACCATAATAGAGGCGGACCAAAATCTGCATACACTCCTGTTAAAACACTAAACGAGACGACGAGGATCTTCGTTCTTTCGATGTTGTTCCCCTGGTCCTTAGTCTAGACACCAAAAATCCATTTCCTGTCTCAAAACCTTTAATTGCGGTGCTGCCAATCATTTTTTCCAAAATCCTCTGCTTTGTATACGGCCTTACTTCAGACTAAACCAAAAGAAGACCACGCCCTCCAGTTCGGGTTTCATTCGTAAATACATGCGAGAACCCTTAAGCCAGGCAAAGCCCTAATTTGGAAGAATTTCTTGCATATTTCAAATTGAAATGATCGTTATTTTCATATTCACTATATTCCAAGTGATCTACGTGCAAAAATGTAATTTCAGTTGTTAACTACTCGAGCGGTCAAGATGGATATTTAGCTGCCCATTCACTCGAGGGATTTTCCGCTTTGTTCCCGCAAGAAAACTTTCTTCTGGCCATATCATAAAACTCTTTCATGGCCAAAAGTATTTGCTCAAGGATGGCCAGATATTGGCCATGTTCCTTCTCAGGTGTGGCTAATATTCGGCCAGTGTTATACGTGTATATAATTGTTTATTAAGAAATTACAAAATCTGGCAAAAAACATCAGTTTACACAATCCACCCAGTTGTCAATAGTACCTATTTCTGAGGACTTTCCACTGTCAAGATGTTCATCAGCCTGATTGTTAAGAGACTGCAAAAATAACAGCAGCTTATGGTTAGTTACGACTAAACAGATGCAAGGGAGGTGATCTGAGACCCTTGTTATGCAAAAGTGGTCATGGCGCTGAACCAGCTTGAACGATTTCCCCTCAAACATCGACATCGAAGCTGGAGATGTTTATTTACTTTGAACCGCTGCAGCAACAGACTTTTATTGGATCAACCAATAAGATGGCTTCGGCTAAACACTCATTGTTTTAATCATGCTCTAATATAAGATGTGCTAATCTGTGAATTGCCTTTAAAAGCATAGACCAATATCTCAAAATAAATACGCGCGATAAAATCTGTACGGTGCTGTGTAAGTCTCTCTACCGCATTCAGAATACCTTGGTTTTTTAAAAAACGCTCAAACAATTAAAGTCATCTAGTCATGCTTAGAACTGAAAGACAAAGTAGTCACAATGACTACTCCTTTGAATGCCTAAAAATAAGCAGTGATTATAATTTTTTTAAACTAAATAATTTATGATTAAATTTGAATGGCTTTTTCAATACTGTACCACTTCTGTACCACTTTGTTATACCTAGTCATGCAAATGAGGCTCGCTGTTGAAAGGCCACCAATTCTAATTAAAAAATCGCTGTTCCGATAGCAAGTATGGCGAGCGGCAAAAGATTTGCGGGTTTGGACTTACTTCTCATTGGTTGATTTTTCAAAAAAGGTCGCGGGCCCGTCTTTCTATGAATAAAATCTGCGGCGAGACGTCGTCTAATGAGAATGAAAAAGCCACGCGAAAGTTCTGTTTAAGTGTGCGGTTTTTTTTTGGGGGGGGGGAAACAGTACGAAAACGGATTTTTGTTTTCATATTAAATGGATTCTTCACCACCAACGCAATGAAATACCCGAAAAAGGATCATTTGTCATGACAACGTTTATGTCATTTAGCACCTCGTGGTAGGCAAAATGCGCGGCGCCACCAACACATTGAGGCTCATTTTCTGACACAGATGATTTGCTGCGGGATTTTTGCCTCATTTCAGTAATGCGATTCAGATGCGACTTGAAATTGCGCATGTAACTAACTACTGGCGATTTCATGGCGATTTCATGGCGATTTGTCGCTGCGCAATCACCGTTAATTCAAACTTGTTGGAATTTCAATGAGAGTGACCAAAAGCCTCCTTGGCTCGGATGACTGTTGACATCAGTTGAAACTTACGGTAACCATTATATACTCTATATAAAGATTGGAAATCGCATCAAAAATTCCTTAAAACTGCGTACGGTAATAATCGCTACAAAAATCGCGCGGCAAAACGGCGAGTGTGTAACCTGGCCTTTACAAGGTATAATGTACCTTTTTCATTTGTTTTTCATTTTCAGCTCAAGTACTGTTTCCTGAGACTCAAACATTTGCTAGAGCCTTATGATTAAGTTGGCAAGGAGACTTTGAACCGTGACATGTTCTTGATCTAAGGCATCTAATTTCTTTTCCTCTGTCACCGCGAAACTTAGACTTGGATAATGAGATTTCAATTAACAGTGCCACAAATAAAGACCTTTTACACGAAACTGAAAAACGTGAGTGAAAAATGAGAGATAACTTGGTTAACACCATTAGTTACAGCATCGGTAGGACGCAAATTATAGGCGAAATGTACAACAGCTCAAAACAAAAATTCTACCTTCCATACGTACGTTAATCGAATGAAAGCGTCTCGCTTCTGAAAACTGGAACAGGTGCAACTATGGTTTTTTTAAAAAATCAAAACCGTGTATTATGAGAAGATTAAAAACTACTCTCCGCATATTTTTCTCTGCGCGCGTTATCAGTTTTCAGAATTCTCTTACCGGGGAACTTGTATGCAAATATTAACCAGCTCGGATATTGATCTTTATGTTCTTAAATATGGCAGCCTTGTGTAAATAATCCGCGATAAAAATTTTACATGATCTTACCTTTGAAGGCGTTTTGAACGCTGCGATGGGTCTTTTCTCTGCGATTTGCGTCGAGTTTTTTAATGTCTTTAACGTGCTCACGTTGTACAGTAACGGCTGTCCCATTGTTCTAACTTTCTCATTTTCTATAAACTTTATTTCGGCCGTGTCTGTCTTTGCGTTTTCTCTAAAGGTCGTTCCTTTTGAACCTTGAGCAAGAAGCGCGCTTCCTAGGTCCTTTCCTCGCGTTTCAAATGAAAGTTCCTTCACTTCATCATCCTGATTTAAAACTCGGGATTGAGTCGCTTCATTTGAATTTTCAATAATTTGCTGTTTCTTGTTTACAAGTTCATTTCTAGTATCATGTGCGATTTCCTCATTTGCCTGGACACGCAGATTTCCAACTCGTTGCCATATGGGCAATTTCTGATTTCGTCGTTCTTCGACCCATTTTTGCCGATCCATTCGTCGCTTCTGCCTTCTTAAGTCCCATTCCTGGGACATTTTCAATATATGCAGTTCATTCTTTTGTTTTTTGGTACGAAATTCTGCTTCCTTGCCTCTACCTTTAAAGTTACTTCGTCCAAGATTTTTGTCTCCTTTTTCACGCGGCTTATTCATGTCCGACTGTCTTTAAAGTCCTCCAAAACGGTCTCTTTTTTTCCTAAATCTGTTCTCAAAAGATTGGGAAAGTTAGCGAGCGGGGAATAAATAATCACTAACCTGTATAATACTGTTTCACTTTACGAATCCATTTTCTTTCTAAATATGCGCATATCAAGTAGACAACAGAATTTTGAATAATTGCCACACTAGATGACGCCAGTGTACGAACGCGCTTTCAACAAACTTAACTAATATATTCCCTATTTCGTAAAATATTCGCAGAAGTGATTATTTTTGCTTTGTTGGTGCAGAGACCAAAACACATTTTGAATTGCAAACAGGATAATAGCTTCTTGCCCGAAGCGGTTCTGTTAATGCTTTGTGACAATATATTCAATCGATCCTGGTCTAAAAAAAACCGCGCGCTTTAATTTTTTTTTCTCATCGAAAAAGAACTATACAAAAATTATTTTCTATGAAAATACTCACAATGATTAATGATTCCGGTGCGCTATGCAATTACTACAGTTGATAAGAATAGCGCCTTTCTCTTTTCAAAGGATCAATAAAAAAAATCCTTTGTCAATTTGATTTCTCTTGCTCGCGATGTAATAAACGCAAAATGCAAATTAGACATCGTTGAAACAAGGCGAAACAAAAGCAAACAGCTGCCTTGTGTATGCTAATTTGATTCGTCGTCACTCACAAACACCTGGTACAGGTTTTGTAAGCATCGATTATCATTCACCACTGGAAAGAATTGACAAAATCCACAGTAAAACAGATCACTGAATGAGTCAAAATAAGCACTATCACACACAATGCTAACAAAAGCTGAATGAAGGCGAGAAAAAAAAAAATGAAATTGCAAGATGTTATAGAAGTTCAAATTCATGGCGCACTTAATATCTAGTCTCGTACCATCGTTTAATATTCAGCGCTTACAAATGGCTCATTACCCATTTCGTCCAATGTCTTACAATATTCCGATCTCTCAATCGAATTTTGAATGTCTCAAGTGCTCTTCAAAGTGTTCAAGACCTGAGATATTAATGGAATATTTAATTTAAAAACTTGTTTTGATCATGAAAAAGATCAGAAAAGATGGATAATGATCTGTATCCTAGAAACGATAACATCATTTAATTTCACCAGCAAATTAATCGGCCAACAGGCTTCCTGAAAGAACATTACAAAAGAAAAACAGATAATATTTGTTTTTTCTGTTCAAATGATATTCATTTGCATATGAAAAGCCTTAATGCTAGCTGATTCCAGACTCCAAACGGTTGAACTCCGACCCAGTCCTTTACGCTCCTCTGCGCTCCTGGAGAAATGACATAAAAGAATGAAAAGAAGATATGATTGTAGTTTAATGTCCCTCTGATCCAATTGAAGATTCAGTAAATCCATATTTTTTGCGATGGAAGTGACCATTAAAATAGTCTATTTAAATGTTACAGCGACGTCTTGTTGGAGCATCTCCTCCACTAAACGACATCAGGCAACAAGGTTAAGAGGAATCCGCTGATCATCAGTTTTATACAGGGTTTTACTCTAATATATAGATTTAACCAGGGCTAAAAGCGAAGCTCTGGTTAATAATACTTGCAAACAAAAACAATTAAATCTTGTAACGCTAAACGGGGAGGGTAATGAAAATGGCATCAAGATCAATAGATCTAATTAGCAAAAAAACAAATTGCACGTGCAGCACACTTTTTGTCTTTCTTTGCCGTTGTTTTGCACAACTACAACGCTGGTTTGTAGGACTAAAACGTCAAACATCCTAGTTACACATTATTTTTATGGAGGAATTGTCTTATGTCCTTACCCAATATTTTGTCTCCTGTGTTCATGTTCGCTTTTATTTTTCACTGCCGCTCATTTTTACCTTGCTGGCCGGTAGCATTTCTCATTGTCTCACAGCCGCTGTGAATTTTCACGTTTTTCTTCAAAATTCGTCTCTTTTGCTTTCAGTCACTCGCTCTAGCTCTTTTTCTGTTATCCACGCGAGTGTAAACATCAAAAATAACGTCGAAAAAGACACGAATTTGTTGTTGTTTTTTCTTTCTAAAAGTCCGGGCGGCCATGCGATTTCTTTTCAAATAAAACGTTGAGTTGCATTTTGGTTGCCATACCTGTTGATTGAATTATTTTACATTGGTATGCCTGTGGTGCGGACGGACGGTCGGGCGGGCGGGCGGNTCTTATGTCCTTACCCAATATTTTGTCTCCTGTGTTCATGTTCGCTTTTATTTTTCACTGCCGCTCATTTTTACCTTGCTGGCCGGTAGCATTTCTCATTGTCTCACAGCCGCTGTGAATTTTCACGTTTTTCTTCAAAATTCGTCTCTTTTGCTTTCAGTCACTCGCTCTAGCTCTTTTTCTGTTATCCACGCGAGTGTAAACATCAAAAATAACGTCGAAAAAGACACGAATTTGTTGTTGTTTTTTCTTTCTAAAAGTCCGGGCGGCCATGCGATTTCTTTTCAAATAAAACGTTGAGTTGCATTTTGGTTGCCATACCTGTTGATTGAATTATTTTACATTGGTATGCCTGTGGTGCGGACGGACGGTCGGGCGGGCGGGCGGGCGGTCGGTGTACGGTCACGTGATTACCAAATTTTCTCGGATGGGTAGTTCACCACATTTTTTTACCCATGGTGCTCCGCTGCCCGCTTTTCGCGCGCGAGAGCTCCGCTAAAATCACGTGACGTAATCACGACTTAAAAAACTGCGATAACAATATCCTCCACTCTTTCACATTTCTTATTTCTTATTTCCGTGTTCGTTTATTGACTTTCATTCCAATCATTCCTTTATCTATGTGCCTCAGTGAACAATTTGCTTTTGTTTTGTACATCATTAACAGAGAATACATGTATCAGTTATTGCAAAAGAGAAACTATGAGATTACTAAGATCCTAAATTACACCAGCAACAACTGGGTATTAAAAATTGTCAGCTATTACACGCAAGTTAAAATATGTTCAATTGAACGGGACCCAGGGGCGTACTCCTGAGAATTCTTGGTGGGGGTGTCCCGCCCGGTTCTCCAATCCCTGACCCTATCTCAGACAAAAAATGTCATTTTTCACACCCGATTTCAGGCCTGGCTTATAAGCAGGAGCCTTTAAGAAATGATGTCATCATTACTTAAATAAGAACGCCAACAAAAACGCCAACCTATGCCATTGATATTAGTATTATAAAGGAAATAAAGGGAGATGCAAAGAATCAACCATACGAGGACACAGAAAAGATTTCTTAATATCATTTCGAATTCGCAGATTTCTCTTTCTTTCTTACACATTTGGAATTAAAACGATAAATTTGTTCATACACTCTCGTAGTTCCCTCGAAAACCATACCCGATTCCAGACCAAAATGGGCAAAGTCTATACGCATTTTCAGACCAAACAGCGCAAAAACTCCACCCTTTGGGGCGGCACAGACCCATGGCTTATATGGAGGAGTACCCCCGGGGAACCGGACCTGTTCAACTGCATCAGTTTGGTGATTGGCGATCGTTCAATCGTTAAATGCAATTTTATTTTACAGCTTTTATATCAAATAGTATGCTCCTAAGTATTATCCATGCCCAGCGACACTCCAGATTAGCTGTCTAAGCGAAAGACATCCCAAAACGAAATAGAATGAAAAAAGTTTCTTTTACACAGTATAAAAGCAGCAAATGAATCAATATATATAGACAGGCGCCGATTGGCTCCTGATATAGACAGGAGCCGATTAGAGAGAAACACCGAAGAAAGAAAAAAAAAACAAACAAACAAAAATTGAGCAAAACAGCTCTAAGTTCGTTACAATTAATTTTTTTTATTCAAGATATTTCTCCGTCCTGTCTTGTTTAAATCCCCCGGCTAATTCAGTTACTCATAACCAGCTAGCGTGGAATAAATGTGGAAGATGTTTGGCAATATCAATACATTTGACGTCAATTGTACTGATATCAACTAAAAGTGCTACCGTGGCTCAGTTGTTTGGCAGCCCAGAGCTGGGGAACCATGGCGGAACCGGAGCTATATGCGTAGCTAGAGTCGAGCTTACTGTATCAAAAACAGAGCGCAACGAGAAGAGAAAAAAACTAGTACTTGACAGATGAAAACTGCTTGAATAGTGCGAGAATCTGCCCAGTGCATAATCTTACTTTGGGATATCTAAATGTAGGGGAATCAAACCTTTGTCTCCGAAAAAAAGTTTTTAAAATCTTTTTACCGAGTAATATTCGAGATATACCTCTATTACGGCACATGCCGAGGCACAATTTTTTGAGCAATTTAAATTTTAGTGCTACAAAGCTATGAAACAGGCGTCACTTGAGAAAAAGTGACAATCTCGAACAAAAAACAAAGCAATGCAAAAAACAACAACAACAACCAGCGAACAAGTGATCTCTCGAGACCGCCAAATTCTTATTTTGATCTCCAAATGAAGTCAAAAGGAAATTTTGAAAGACAGCAAGCTTGCGGTCCTTGCTTACAGTCGCCCCCTTCCCTAAAACAAAATCGATTTTGTTTGAGGGCCGAGGGCGGGGCGCCTGTACACAGGCGAGGACATAGGGATTTCTGGTGTTGCGGTGTAGCTTACTTTTTTTGTGCGCAAGATTGCGGTGAATAAAATCCCACCTGACGGTGTTGCGGTGATCTTAAACCGTACGGTGTGCGGTGTTTCCGTTTTTAAACCTACGGTATTCGGTGAAACGAAATAACTTACGGACACTTTGCAGTGTTGTGGTTTATCATTTGCCCTTAGGTTACTAGAACGAGGAACCAGGTAAAACGAGCCAAAATGACCTAAACGATCCACAACGACCCAAAATGATCAACAACGATCAAAACTAATCGGCAAAAGATCCACAACGACCAAGCCAAAACAAGTTCTGCCCTCCTAGGAAACTTGGGTAAAACTGATTTTGATATCTCACTTTTTATGGCAGGAGCGAAGGATGATCTGTATGGTCTTTTTATATAAAAAGACTTCAAAACAAATGGATAACAGGTCAAATTTTTCCACGACTGTCTGCTTACTTCCATGGGCGTTGAATGTATTTTTCTATCTGCATGACTGAAAATAGAGTTCGCAAAAATAGAGTAAGTGAAAGATAGAGTCTTGAGGTCAGTCTCGGCTCTCTACTAATCACTAACCAGCTCCTGGATCCTCCATCCCCAATTATAATGTAGATTTGGATTAGATTAATCGTAGGACAAAAATTACAATTGCGATGTCGGTGTTTCGCAACTGTTTTTTGAGGCGATGCGGTGTGGACAGACCTCCAATGTCCCCCTCAACAAGTAATTCACACACCATAATCCCCAAGACACTGAAACCAAAACGAAAACCGATAACCTGAGTGATCCACAAATGTGGAACATGACATCATTCCTGTAGATAGCTCTGTCCTTGAAAACGAGGTTTTTACGTCATGAAATCGGTAACAATCAAGATCAGCTAACCTGCATGCATATCAATACAATTGTTTGTAGATATTCTAAATCTCTTTTATGGCACAAATAAACTCTAAACTTGTCATCTGACGAAGCACATGATTGAATTAAAAGCGCCGGTGGAAAAAAGCTAATAGATGCTCTTCATGACTGACAAAATGTATGGAGCCGGAGAGTTCAAGAAGTCTTGGAGCAGAGTTTGTGGTTGCGTGCATATTTGAAATCAGTCGAAAGGTTTTACCAGCACTAATAGCACAAAATCAGTGAAACAATAGACAATTAAAAGCAATGAACCTTGAAAGGAGTGCCAGCTTTTCTTTGTTCTGATTACGTATCAAGTCGTCTAATGCCCTTAAAGTTATGCTAATAAACCTTGTGTCAGTCTGCTATACGTGTTGCGAAACCATGGAGTCATCTAACGTAAACATGTAAATCACGCGAGTGTAATCACGCATAGCATACCGAAGGATTGTGTTTCTAAGGAAATCTGGCTTCACGCATGGTTCCGATTCATCATGGTGTTTTTTACGTTCTTCAGTGGGATTTTTACTCGGGTTATATTTCTTGTTCATGGCTTGGTTAGCGTCTATCTAATCGTGCGAAGCAAAGGGGAATCAAAGTATTGGTGGTTATGTACTGGATTGTTCTTACTTCTGATAGAATCCTTCTACACAATCGTCATTCGGAGAGGCAAGGAATATAAATAGTAAGTCATCAGAACTTTATATGCCAGCTAAAAACACGAATCGTTCCCCCCGCATTTTTGGGCAAGTTTAATTCGAATGATAGTCATGTTTGCTTTTTATCCCCCCCAAAACAAGCCAGATATAATCTTGACAAACGCGGAATATGATCGAGGGTTATAAAGAGTTCAATAGACGTTGAGCTGAGTCGAGGAATTTGACAAGATAATGCATGCATTAAGTAAGCAACGCGATCTGTCCGATTTTTCAAATGGTAGAGCTACACAACTGGTGGAGTTTGAGCTACACAAAGAACCTCTTTTTGCTTCGTTACGAGGATCTTTGATGTATAATAGCGCGAACAATTTTTGGATTTTAGAAAAGTAATTTGCTCCCTGTTGATCAAAAGGTCATTATAACGCAATATTTAATAACCCAGCTTTCGAAAGCGACAACAGAGAGTGAGATCATAATTATTAGTCAATTAGCTAAAACGGTATGTTTTGCTTTCACGGGACATTCGATTTGATGAAACTTTTCATCATATTGAACATTCAGTTTAAGTGGCTTAAGTTTTTTTCTATATATTTCGAGTTTGGCGAATGTTGATAACTACTTGCTAATTGAAACAAGAATTGCAATATATAATAACGAAGGGAAGTGGTAGCTAAGTGGTGCAAAGCTGAATTGTGTTAAAACCGTATTAAAATAAAAATGAAAGTATGGTATATAGTTGCAGAATAATCAAATGGCACATCATCAAGTTTTAGTTAACTTGTAGTGGCCGTTTATGCATAAAGAGGACGCGAAATTTCAAACAATTTTCAACGTTTTATCGTACTGAAAGTCAGAAAAGCTCTCCCGTACAAGCAGCTTAGTGAAACACTTTCACTAACCATCACTAAACAGTGATTTGACATTGCCTTATTGGCGATAGAAAAACAGATAGTTATGCAGTCCGGGGCACCCAACGGCAATTTTCGGAAAATATCTGTTCGGAGGACGATTTGAGATCTAGAATTTTCGGAACATTTGTTGTAAAATTTCTTGCTTGCCTACCTCTCCTAGGATTTTCGAACATCTACAAAATGGTATAATTACCCATTTTTGACGGATTTTTACCCTAAAAAAGGCCAGCTAGAAATTTCGGGAGCCTTTTCCTGGCTGAAATTTTCGAAAAGGTAAGTTTTGATCCCTATAATTTTCGGATCACTAGACTTTCAGCTAGGAAATCCGAGCAGATGAAAAGTTTTTAGGGGATAAAAATATGCCTATATCTACTGTTTAAATACTAAAATACGTTCAACAATGCTATGTTAAGTGGTTTTGAACTATATCCTCGTTGAGTGCCCCTGATGCAGTGCTCTTGAACAATATTACAAGAGGAAACGGTTTCAAAGGACTCTATTCGTGGAACTGGCCAATATATGAACACTGATAATTTCGTGTCTGCCGCTGCCGACAAGAAGGAACTTCAGATGAGGTTGAGACGTTAGTGTTTGGAATGGCCCGAGTCTGATGTCACAGCAAAAAAGCCAAAACAGTACTAACCTAAAAGCCGGAATCCTTACTACTTTATGTTTCGTTGTCTTTTACATATACATGGCTGAGTATTTCTTATCTCATCTGTTGTAAACATTTTAAGAGAGTTGAGATGATGCACTTGTCTCTTTAAGTAGCGGAAGGAACAATGTGCGCGCGTGCGAGTAAAGGCTGTCGTGCAGAAGAACGAAGCTGCTTTAGTTGGAAGATCAAGTGCGACTTGCCGCGGCGTTTCAAGAAATTCGTCTCTTCAGAACCATTAGCCTTATCATAAGGCTAGTTATTTGCTTTAATCAGTAGGGAAAATGAAGATCGGCTAGCTGTATGAATAAGACAAGTGCAAAGACAAATTGTAAACAATTACCTTAGGTCTATGGGAACGGTGATTTCTACTTTTGTGCATGAAACAGCTGTTTGGTTTGAGTCTTTGTGTGGGTATTTCCGACAAAATGGAAGTTGCGGCGATCGCTATCGATGAACGACGATCTTAGATCGCCTATAGAGATAGAACCTACGATTAAGATATGGTAGGATTGCCATTCTTATCAAGACTGACAAGGTTAGTCGTGCGATAACAACATAGAAATCCACCCAAAAGTACAGTGCACTAGAAGAGGCCATGCATGGCTCAATGATCCGGATGAAGCCACTTCTTGCTTAAATTTCAGCTCAGCTTTGACCAAACAATATGGAATAGCCCCTTTAAGAACCTGTTTCATATCCGTCGACTGATCGTTCTCGCGTGGACACGCATTAACCGCCGCACAGGTTCTTGCGTTAATTAACTCTCTTAATATAGGGACATTGTAGCTTAGCTTTTGGTTGAAAATGTTTCGCAATCGAACAAGTAAGTGCGCTGTTAGTTTCGTTTTCTAGCACTATTCTGAAATTTCTTAGCCCGCGAGAAAGCCCTCCATTTCGATTGGCAAGCTAAGGACGCTTAGCGAGCCGCTAAAGAACGCGCAAGCAAGCGTCAAAGCCTCGAGGGGCAGAGGACGGACCAGGATTCTTTCCACAAAATCTCTTGGAGATGGAGAACTTCAACTTCAACTCTGAAAAATAAAAAAAAGCGGTTACTTCCAAAAACTAACCTAAGTAAATCAAGGGAAAAGCGCTCTGGGGACGAGGATGCGGTGTTTTGGTTAAGTGTTAAATATAACAAGTGGCTATAACTTTGTAGTAGTTTGCTTAGTTTTTTAAAATTTCTCTCGTTTGGTCGCAGTTAAGCAGTGGCCGCAGTATACGCTTTATGTGAGTTCTAAGACACCTGCGCGTGTTGAGGTCACCCACTTTTTACGACAATTGCGGCGCCATCTTTAATAAGTAGGTAACATTCGTTCCCTTTATTCAGTATTTGGCCTGGAAGTCTCCTCTACATGTCGACTGTGTTACCAGTTATCTGGGTGGCGGAACTAAAAATCCTCAATGAGAAGATCGCAAAAGGAGCAGATGACTGCACATTTGAAGCGGAAAAAAGTATTTCCGTCAGTGGGCTGGTAAGTAACCGAAAACCGGTCAGTATAAAACGAGGACTGCGGACTGCGGACTGGGTATAAAAAACGGACTAGGTATAAAATGCGGACTAGAAACTGCGAATTAATTATAAAACACTGACTAGGTAAAAAACGTGGACTACGGACTGTGTATACCTAGTCCGTGTTTTATACTCAGTCCGTAGTTTCCAGTCTGCATTTCATACCTAGTCCCTTTTGTACACCCAGTCCGTGTTTTACACTGAGAGGACCGAAAACATTTATTAAATAAGTGAGTTAAGTATGATCGCCCGGGTGAACGTAGTCCTGAATAGGACTGTTGTTGTTGACGGTGACTGACGTAGTGCGCAAGGCACGCTGGGAAGAGAGGAGAAGCGGACGCGCCGGCCTGCGTAGTTCATGTTATTCTTATGCGCGAGGTACGTTCTTTACGCGCTGGGTATTTTCTTGCCGCCAAAACGTCTCGCGGTTCCGCCTCCAATAAAAACAACAGCACTCGCCCGCTAATCCCGGCAGCAACGAAGGCTGCGGACGCGTCGCCGAACTCGTACCCTGTGATCAGGTTGACGTGCTGCCTAACTTTCTTTGGTTGACCCTTGCCATGACCCCTTGCGTTAATCTTTAACCTTACCATTCTTCCTTTACGCGTATAGGCGCCTGAGGACCGTAATTTTGCTGTGATTGGTCGGAAGACTTGAGAACTGTGCGATAAAATGGACATATTATTTATATTTCATCAGGTGACAATCACAATCGATACTGGACAATTAGCACAGAAGTGGTCCAAACTTGGTCTTATATTGCTGATTATTGTGGGTCGCTGGCTACTACCAAGAGGAGAATTAACACGTGACCAGCTATCCACGCTGCTTTTAGTCTACGTAGCGAATGCTGCTGACATCATGGGTGAGCAGAGCTAGTTTTTATTTTAATTTTTTTTTTTCATTCTCTTCCCTTGCCCCTTCTTATCAGTAATACCTCGGTCGCTCAGTTGTAAAGGTACAACCAGTTATTGTGAGATGTTATGGACTCGTCTCTAACTTCGTTAGCTGAATTGCCCGATATGACGAATATCATTTACATTTGTGATTTTTAGGCCCTGTTCACACTATCATCGAAAACGTATCGATCGATTCGCGTCCACATTACCGCTTGATGCGTTTTCCACTGGCTACACTAAAACATTCGAAAACGATAGAATTGCAGGTTGTGATGTAAGTTGAACTCTATGCGCAAGCCCACGTGATACATATGACGTTATCGTTTTCATTTTGATGCGTTTTCGACCTTTTTGGACCTTCCACTCTAATACGATATGTATGCGTTTTCGTTTTGATCCACTTTCAAGGGCGTTTTCAAATCGATGCTTTTTCTATGAAAACGCTCAGCGTATAAGTGTGAACGGAAGGGCTAAATGTATCGAAATGTATGCGTTTTCAAAAGAATGAGGACCTTAAGCAACTACGACAACGACAGCAGTGAAAAGATCACTAAAAAAAAATGAATTTGCGTCCTTTCAAACTTTATTGCATCTATTGGGAACCGCTCGATTCGTCAAATGTAGGCGACTTTTCCTGGAGTTGGATTTATAAGCAGGCGCGGATCCACATCGGTTTCCACCGTTTCACGAAAATCGGTCAGATTTTTCATAAATAAATATTTTTTAATGAGAAAACTCTCCAACTTAAAATCTGGCCAATATCCTGCCTGAATGACTCAGAAACCTAAAGGAAAGGAGACTTAAGGTATTTAAAATCCAAAAAAATTTAAGGGGGTGCATGCCCTTGGATCCCCCTAGAAACTTGCACCTTCGGCGCTCAGGTAAGAAATCGGTCAGTATTTATCCTAGATCCGCGCCTGAAAAGGGCTTTATCCATGTTCAAATAGAGATAGAAAAATTTGTCGCCGTATATCCACGCCCTCTATAAAACGTCGCATTGGGAGGTTTCACGTCGTGCTGTTGTTTTGGTCATAAAACTAATTGTTGTTTGACGTTGTTGTAGTCGTTGTCGTTGTCGTAGCTGCTTAAGGTCCCTAATACGCATTAGTGTGGACATGGCCTTTGAATCAAGCACTCTTCTTAAACTTCCTTAAAGATCTCGCTCTGGAATAGTTTTAACAAAGTAACGCTTGTTTTCATATCTTTTCCAAATACAAAAAAACTGTGTAATAGTGTCGTATTTAGTTATCACGTGGTGAAATAGTGAAAAACTCTTGTTTTAATATCTCTCCCGCACCCAAAACGTATTGTTTGAAAATATTTGTGTGTGTTCTAGCACATGCAGGTCCTTCCTTATAGTTCTCGATCTAAGGCGAGCCTCTTGACCGCTAGGTAAGGGCTGCCATTCTTTACTCTATCCAACATTCCCACTCGAGGTCTTCCTGCTGGTCTCTTTCCTATTATTCTTCCCTCAATAACTAACGGGACAAATAAGATCACCATGCCGTGGGGTATGACCAAGCTTGACTCTCTGTCATCTGTTTAACAGTGCCGTATTTAATTGCCGTCTTTGTTAATTCACATTTCAGAACTCTTTGAAGTATTCGACAAGGAGCCGAGACTGTGGTGTAAACAGGGCGTTGCTATCGCCGTCCTGGCCACCTACACGTGGTCTTTTCTACAGTTTGCACTCGTTTTTACAGCCACTGCTGAAACTGTTCCAGACAACAAAGACGAGAAGAAGGTGAGCTTGACGTCTCCTATGTAGACTACGAGTAGTCCCCATTTTTCCTCAGGGATAGTAGAACCAGCGAAACGCGAACGCGCGGGAAAATCACCCCACGCGAGAAAGGCGAGACGCCGCTTAATGCATGTTTGACTGTTGACTTTGTTGCATTCGCTCAGAGTTCACTGACTTTAGGTCTTATTTTGCCCTAAATCGGATTAAACCCTTGAATTACTCGGACTAATAAATATCACTACCATTTGTCAGCTTCTAAAAACTGACAAAAACGTTGTTCCTGTTTTAGCTATCCTTGACCTGAAAAATGTTTTATTTACATTTGCAGGAGCCTTTTTCCGAGATTAAAAGAACAGAAGAAGCACAAAAAGGCGGAACTAAGCTGCCAAATTACATCAAAAAACTTATTAAACAAAAAGCTGAAAAGCAAAAAGCCGAACTTGCTGAAATCGAGAAAAACACGGACTTGCGTGCCGCGATCGATCAAATGAAACAGCTAAAAGCGTACAAAGCTCGTGGAAGACAAGCAAGAATGTCAATACACGACGCCGCGTTTGAGGTAGTACAGGTGCAACGAGAGGTGAGGAGAGAAGAGGAGATACTGGAAAACCACATTAAAGAGAAACAAAAGCTTAAACTTCACGGAGACTTGTATTCAATATTGACTTTAATGTTGATGCAAGATGGACCGTTTCTTATAGTGCGACTTGTTTTGATCATTGCTTACGGTGTCAACGCCACTCTGCATATTTTCTTTACCGGCAAAAACGCAATGGCACTTGCTTTACTAATCTACAGATTGGTGATTCTGATCACGGAATATCAGGACGATGAGGATGAAGACAAGGACAAAGATTTCTACGAATTCTGAAGTTAAACAGCTGAAAATCTTATGCTGTTTGCGTTAAAGTATATCGGAATGTCCCTCGGCTGTTTTTGGAAGAGGCTACCACTTGTTCGCTCCATGTAAGGACATCCAAGACAGTCTTGGAACCGAGTGGAGAAGGCGCGCGGCACGCTGTCGATTCCGGCGGATTCCAGGTACTGCAATACGGACGTTGTCGTTGGAATTTGGATTCCGGATCCCAATCGTTAATGGTTCCAGATTTTTTTAAACTGTATTCCGGATTCCATAGCCCAGGATTCCAGGTTCCATAAGCACATATTCCTCAACTTCCGGGAACTTGTCTGGATTCCCTTACATGGGGATAAGAGTAACGAAGTTCTCAAAGTTGACGTAATTTTATTCACGGTCGTTTAAGACCCGAAAAAAGTTTATTCGGATCATTGTGACAAAAAAAAGTAAGTTAATAGAGAAAATGCCACACTGTACGGTTGGAACCATGTGTTTTTGTATATTTGTATATAGTCGTTTATACAATTTTTCCCAAGGAAGATAACTGCAGTACCTCATTTTATGTTAAATTTAAACACATATGGAAGCATAGCATTCAAACCAAAGCAGAATCAAACCGAGACACTTTCGTTTTGTTTTCATGGTAACACCGCTGCCTGATTCGACAAAAAGAAAAAATATTGACATGCCACCTCACAAGAAGTGACTGATTTGTACTGTTGTATAGTTTGTAATAATGATCGCACTTTGTAATGCCTGTCGCAATTTGTAAAAAATCGTGTTACACTTTGTAACATAAAAGCTGTCACAATTTGTAATAACTGCCCATCGCTTTTTGTAATAGACTAAAATGTCGCAATTTGTAACTGATAATTACAAATTACGAAAGCTTTTTTAATACGAAGTGCAACATGGTTTATTTCAAGAGTCTTACAAATTGCTAAAGGTTATTACAAGGTGCAATGATTATTACAAATTGCGACAGTATAGTTTAACTTTTCGTGTAAGCAAGAAAAGCTATCCAGCAGAGTGTAGACATTGTTGTACTGTCACATTTATAGGCTATCTGAACTGATAAAGTTTTATCGCGTATTTATTTTCTTATTTAGATTATACCTTCCAGCCCTCCAAGGCGCCATGAAAACAGGAGTCTTTTAATTGCTTTATGAGTAGAAATAAACTTGTGATTGATCAAAGTTATCCATTCGTTTTGCATGAGTCACAAGAAGCAGCAGTTCATCACAGAGGGACTCCATCGGCAACGGTCACATAACTTTAGACGTTCAATCTAATTTTAGATTCCTTTCCCTCTAACGTCCGCAAAAATCCAATATGGCGGTTGAACATTTGAATGGAATTCAGTAGGCCATTTCCGAATTACCTTTGCCCCCCTCTAAGCGAGTCCTGACCTCATCCTTTCATATGAAAATAAGTTTAAAGTTCGAACACAAATTAAATTCATATCAACGAAAGGGTAGGCCAACCCCGGGGGGGGGGATATATACGGGCCCATATATACGGACTTCACGGGTATGCACCGCTCAACAAGGTATCTTTTGCCTCTCTTTCTCTTGAACAGAGTATACGAAACCCTCTTTATCTCTGGAAGTGGGGTATATTCACGAGGGGGTGGGGGGGGGGGGGGAGGGTTTTTATTTGTGGGGGGGGTGTGGGGCCGCGGCCCACATCCACACACCGTGTTTACAAACAAAAGATGTGTTTTGCTTACTCTGTTTATGAGTGNCAAGTTTAGGTCTGAGACTATATACGTCCACCTTCCTGTTTCTTAACTGCTAACTTAAGAAAGAAAAAAAATTCTTCGTTGTATGTTTACATGGACAGTTAGGCTCAGGAAAACGCCCCACTTTACACACGTCTGCAAAATTCGGTGACTTTGCTAAGCCATATCTTCGTTAGAATTTAACAAATCACTCTTAAACGTGGCAACTTTTAATTAACAGTTTTCAACGTAGCGATCTTGCCAGCGATATCTCTTAATTTGCGCTAATTGGTCCATGCAAAAAGTTGATAAAAATGGGATGGATTATTGTTAAAAGAAATTTTTCTTTGCTTGAGGGGACAGGATTGTGAGTATATAATGAATGGTTCGGATATATAAACGTATTATGCGTTAAAGTGTCTGTATCTGTCTGTAGTTTCGAACTAATTGATCAAGGTAATAATTTCTCAGTTGGGGAGTAGAACGCGTTAAAAACAACAAAAACAAAATGTTTGTTCAAGTTGAAGTATCAATTATTTCTTGGTGGGATATAAAAAAGAGAAAAACTGTAATTGGTTGTAAAAAGGTGGAAAGTTTTTTGTTTGTTGTGATGTGTGTTATTATAACACCGTATAGTTTACTGACGGGGAGTTTGGCTATAGAGCTTTTACGATCTCTCTAATCAGTGGTAATTTGTTAATTTAAGGTGTCTGCAGAGAAAGGCCCCTTTCGGTCTATTTTCCTCACTGGCAACAATAAGATGCTCTAAATTAACATGCTCTACTTTAATTTAGAACGTCTCTTTGAGTTATATATCCGTCCCTAAGGTAAAAAAGTGTATTTTAAGAATCTGTACGAAATTAAAAGAAGGGGCAAGAATTTGTAATACAGAGCCAAAACAAAGTAAATTCTATATTTTTCTCTAGTCAGAAATTAAAAGGACTGATCAGCTTCATATTTTTAACACATGCACTGTTGGCAGGTGTGATATTAATAAAACTACTATCCGGCAACAACAGATTCAGATACGCTTACTCAGCCGCACTCACAAATTAAGCAAAATTGAGCAAGAAATAACCATAAGCCGTTTAAAATGTCAAAAATTCAACATTGAAGACATCTTTATGACGATCCTTATTGTTTATTCTGATTATAACCACCGGACTACAAAAAAGAGGATATATCTCCTTTCTACTTTTCACCAGTAGATTATTAGTTATAATCACTCAGCGATACAATTGTTTCCCCAGAACTGTATAAACAATTAATCGGTCATTTTGTGGACTTCCCGACTTGATCCTTTCAAAGCTCTCATGTAGTTTTTGTGAGAAATATTAATTAAACTTCTTTGAAGGCTTGATTGTTTTGATAAGAAAAATGCAAAATCCTAACGAAAATATAAATAATTCACAAGCAAGCCAAAACCGCGTATTAAACGACCTCTAGTTTTAAAGTAGAGCTGTAATCAATATACGGTACCATGCAGTGTAAAACACACAACGTCGCCTTAAGGCAACATATACGCTCACGTTATAACGACTTTACACAAACAAGCTGTGGTCTTAGAGACTTTGGACGGCATTAACATGCTTCAGTACGTAAACAGGCTGTCTTCGGCGCCAGAGGTCGTCACCGACATGAAGTCTGTCCTTAAAGCCACTAATGTAGACTACACCGCAGCAACCAAACGATTTATTACCAAGAATTACAATCGCCGAGTAAGCTGTCCTGAGGTAGCACTCAGGGCAAGAAAGAATTCACGCCAAGACGAAAAAGCACTTCTCGATGCACGAGTAAAGATCAACATCAGCGGGAATATTTACGAAACTTTTTATTCAACTCTGGCTCGATTTCCGGATACCCTTCTAGGGGATCCCGTTAGAAGGAGAGATTACTTCGATCACGAGCGGCAGGAATATTTTTTCAATCGCAACAGAAATGCGTTTGATGCGATTCTTTTTTATTACCAATCGAATGGTCTTCTAACCCGGCCAAATAACATCAGGTTGCAGGAATTCTGCGAAGAGTTAAAGTTTTTCCAGATCAATGACGAAACTCTAACTGAATTCATGAGAGACGAGGGTGCTATTGAAGAAGGTGAAGAAGAAGTAGAACTACCTACGAATGCAATTTTACGGAAAATATGGCTATGGTTTGAATATCCAAAGTTGTCAAAAGTTTCTAAACTTGTTGCTACTATTTCGGTTTCATTCATTGCAATTTCGATCTTCGTTTTATGCGCCGAGACAGTAGTTCATGAAAACGAAGGAAATAAAACGTCTATAACTGACTTGGAACAGTTCAGGAAAAACAGACCAGCTGAACTTACAAAGTTATACAGCGTTCTAGAATCGCTTTGTATCGCCTGGTTCACTTTAGAATTTTCGCTTCGAATTGTTTCGTGCCCAGACAAGGTGAAGTTTCTTTTTGATTTCTTGAACGTAATAGATCTCGCCGCTATTTTGCCACACTACGTACAGATAGTATTGGGTGACTCACGGTCTGTCAGTGAAAAAACCGACGCGCTAAGGTTACTTAGAGTATCAAGATTGTTCAAATTATTTCGACATCTCGACGAGCTTAAAGTTCTCGCCAAAACAGTGCGAGCGACGTGGCGGGAATTAATCATGATCTTGTTTTTTATCGTAATAACCACAGCGATCTTTTCTGGTTGGACGTTTTATGTTGAGCACGAGCAACAAAAAGATATCTTCTCTAGTATTCCAGCAACATCTTGGTTCGTGATCGTCTCGCTTACAAACGTTGGTTACGGCGATATGGTTCCTGTAACGGTGATGGGAAAACTTTTAGGAGCATTATGCACGTTAGCAGGTGTACTAGTAATTGCTTTGCCTAGTCCTGTCATTGTTACCAAATTTCGTTTGTTTTACGAGAAGAAAAAGAGAAAAAAACTGGCGCGTTACAGATTTTAGGTAAGGTAATCATGAATTTAACATTGTTTCTCGGAGATTTACAGATACCATTGTGACTGAATGCGAGTTTAACGTTTACAAGGTAGTCGAAATTGTTAACATGAAAAATGACAGAAATAAAATCATCAAGATAGCGTATTGCTTTCTTTGATCTGGTTAATTGCTACAAACTTGCTAGACAGACGCTAACGAACCTAATCTTGACTGGCAAACAAATAAATCATATCAAATTCTTACTTTTGTGAAATGAAAAAATGATTTGGATACTGGTATCTCACAATGCGGCCAGTTTTTATTTCGCGGTTAGATTGGCGATCCATCCTCAGCAACGTGAATAATTTATTCAAGTTTAAGGATGAATTAGTTATTCTAGTAAGGCGCGAAAAAATGATAATCTTTCCAACTGTGCAAGTTTTTAAAACTATACATAATAATTTTCCTTAATAAACAATTAGTAGAACTGTGTTTGAGATGGTGGTTTCCTTTTAGGTGAACTGAACTTTTTACTCCAGGGGGGAGAATGTCGTCTTTTCTCGTAAATTAACTATCAAACGCCTCCCCTAATAGAAAACAAAAAAAAACTTGTAGATACATTCATGCATTTTTCTTTTGTTTATTTAAGATATTAGCTCGCTTTCGTTTATTTTATCACGCAACCTTTTTTTGCGGTTCAACTCTTTTGAAGTCAATCTGTACTCATTGAGCCATATTCCTTGTTTGTGTTAACTGTGGGAAACCGGTCGTTTCGATACGAACTCAAGCAGTGAAATTGCACAAAAATTTCGTTCACTTCAAGGGTAGTTTGTACGTGAACAAGAAAAACATTTTGGGTGAATATTCTTTGTTCTTTAAGCCAAGTACGAGGAACTATTTACATCTCGACTGAATAAACTTTTGTCGAAACGACATTTTATCAAAAAAAGAGCGGTAACCTGCGTTATGTCAACTATGTAGTTGCGCAAAATGTTGCGCCTTCAAGAAACACGTAAGAAATGTGGAAGATACAGCCTAGCTAATCTCATAGGGCCTATCGAGAGGATCTGTACATTTCTGTAGGTTCCAATTTGATATTTGCGTTTTTTGTCATCCCCTAAATAAATAAAAAAATAAATAAGTAGATAAAAAATAAACAATAAGGTTCAAGGAAAAAAAATGTGTTTACTATTTCGGCCTCCTACATAAATTCCCTATCGTGAAAAAACTCGAGAGCGGGCAAACAAAGAAAGGAAAGAAGCCCGAAGAAGCGCCATTTTTTTCAATGTTGCGGATGGACAAGCCGTTCTTCTTATGGGGGATTAGCTTGTTCCAAGCGCAAAGAGATTTCAGCAGAAAGCTCACCCACTCCACTATCTGAAAGCCGGAATAGGCTAGTTGGAGATTACTCAGGAATGGCCGTTTTTTTAAATAGCAGTTTTGTTTTTATTTGATGCAATTCACCTCTACCAGAGTTCTCTTGCAGTAAGGAAAAAAAGACAGAGACGCCGATAGAAACCTTTACAAGATCTAACAAGGGTACGAGAGACATAAAATTTGGGGTGCCTGTGGTCTTCATGTGGGGGCTTGGCTCCTTGGCTTGGCTTGCCCTTGAAGCTTTGTGAGTTGTCTACCATTATTTGTTTTTGTGCCTGGGTCAATGCAAGCAGTGTAGTTGCGGACGAAAATGTTCAGAATGTTGGAAAAGGAAAGATTGTTATTCCTTCTTCTCCTAGTTTTAGGGACTTCTATCATCTCTGCAAGATATTTAGAAGGTAAAGAAAACGTTCTATAGTAATATTGTGTGGAGTCGAGGAAACAGCTCGTTTGCGGCACTCGGATTGATCAGTTCATGATGGTGATTGGAGGCGAAGGCTATTATTTTGGATGCTTCTACAAGCTTGAGTAGTTTTGACTTTTTATAAAATCCTTTTTACGGTGCAAGAATTTGACTACAAGTTTAAGCCACGTTAAGTTTTCCTTTGTGGCGTAAATAGCGGTTAAACTTCAGACTACTCCGTCACATACATGTATTTGGATCTCGTTTGAATAACGAATGTGTGCCTGTTGTGTATTTGTAGAAATATCCTGTTCGTGTAATTTCTGTGGCAGTTATTATGGCTGTTGTTGAGCTGTGCATAATACTTTTAGCCTTTGTTGTGCTTTAAAATAGAAGGACTATATTTTAATTGTTGTGACAGAGTTTTGCAGTCTGTTTTCAGATTAACTGTTTGGTTACAATAAAGGCCCTAGCATTTTCAATTTCGAACTCGTTATTTTTTAACTGGGACTCATGATTTTTCCCAAGATGAGCCCCAGGACTCACCATAACTATTTGTAACAAAATCACTGCTTCTGTGTTGAACAGACTCCAGTGAAGACCGACGTGCTGACCATGAACAGGCTGAAGAACTTAAAAATGAAAGTGACATGGACGATGAGAATGATGGCAAAGATGATGATGAGGACTTTAAAAATGATGGCGACGACTTTGAAAGTGATGACCCCGATGGTAATAACGAAGACGCAGATGAAGATGATAGCAGGGAAGAGGTGGTCAAGATACAGCCAGGTCAGTCGGATGAAGGAGAACAAGAAGATGAAGACACCAGTGAGGATGAGGGTGATGAATTTGGAGATGAAGCTGATACAACTGATGATCATATGATTGAAGGAGATGAAGGTGGCAGGTCCCTCGCTGACCAGGAAGAGGATACTGAGAATGTAGCTGATCAAGGGGGCTTTGAAGACTTTAAGAAAGTAAGTAGTGAATAATGTAACTATTAGCAATTTTGCTATCAAGTAATTTAAAGTTCCTTGATTGATTGATAGCAATATTTTGTCTTGCAACCACAAACATTTATAAGGTGATGGTGGCAACTGACTTTGCTCATCAGACAGTGGTGGATTTTGATCCCCACAAATGGTTGGTCGACTGTGATCGTTGTTATTCATCTAGAAGTTGTTCCTCAGAGGTCTGCGTTTGTCAAGAAGCTATGCATGGTTTTCCAAATGAGGGCTGATTAATGCCATATGTTTACACAAAGTAACAACGCATTACAGTTAACAAAATGAAATATGTGGTCAATTTTAATAAAGTTAAGCTCAAAGCGTATGCACATACAATACTATTAATTTTCTTTAGCTAGATCTCACTGGCCCTAAGTCTAGTTTTCTGAAAAAAGTAAAAGAGTCAAACAGAATAGTCACTAACCTAAAGAATATTATTACATGTATGTACTTAAAATTGTACTGTTCTATTTTTTTCAGACAGCAGATGAAATTGCCAGAGAAAATGACAACATCCAAACACAAATAAAAGATCTGGAAGACAAATTTGACCAAGTCCTATCTTCAGACAGTGATAAAGTGAGTTGAACATGAAAAAGTATTTTATAGGATCACAATAATTAACAATTGTTATTATGTTGTTTTTTGTTGTGTGTTATTCTGTTGTAGAGTATCCTTTTCAACAGTGAATCTTCACTTGTCCTTTTTTATTTTGATTTTTCCAAAAAAATACATGTAAGATAATTACAAATGGTATAATGATACATAAAAAACTTATTATATGAGCCCAAGTATCCAAAGAATCCTAGAAAACTTTTTTGGTTTAAAAGAGAAATAAAAATTAATTTTTATAAAGTGATAATGTACTATCACTTCAAAGATAAACAAAACATCAATTCACAACATTCAATGTTTTTTTAAGTATTTTGTTTCAAAGCAAAAGAAGAGTATTCATTTATTTATTTATCTTGCAAAATTGAAAAAAATTGTACTTTGTGCAAAGTGAGAACATTAATTCTTATAAGAGTACTACAAGTTATCTTAAATTAAACTGGAGTAATGTTTGATCATTGCAGAGCCATGAGGGAAGAGACCTTAAAGTTTGAGTACAAAATGGATGAAAAGTTTTGACACCTAAATCATCATCAATGCTTCTTTAGAATCATCTCCAAGTTAATATCATCAATCATCATTCCTAATTTACTGTATTGCTCAGTAGAAAATGTCCGTGATAGTAGTGGTTAGATACATGGACATGTACAACTCTGTACTTGGAACATTTCGTTGTAATCAGTTTCTTGTATTGGTATTAATTAGGCAGCGTCTGATCCTGCAAGAGATGTTAAGGAAGAAAGTGAGATAGATGCAAAGATGCAAAGCGAGATGTACCGTGATCAAAGTTTAAACAAAGCCAGTAAAGTTGAGATGATGTCTAGTAAGGTTGGAGGCGAACAAAATGATGAAAATCTTGTCAGACAATATGCCCAAGTTGGGGAAGATGCTAATGTTGAGCCAGATGATGACTACTAAAAATACATCAATCCTTATAAAATCAGGGTTTGAAACAGGGTTTTCTTTGATTGAAGGGAAGTTTGGCTATGTTTTTTATACATAAAAATATAACTCTTCAAATTTATAAAGAGGGATATGTCACAAGGATATTGCGGTTTTTGGTTATTCTGTGCTGAAGTTATTTCTTAGCGCCTTCACCCATACACAAAATGCTCCTTTAGAGTAAAATAGGTTTGAAGAAGATATCGAACAAATTAGGTTTGAAGAAGATATCGAACAAATTTCCTTGATGAGCACCATCCAAAATAGGAACCTAAACAACGACGATTATAACAGCAGTGAAAACATCACTAAAAAATGAACTTCCGTCCTTTCAAACTTTATCGCGTCTATTTGGAACCCTCTCAATGCATCAAATGTAGGCGACTTTTCCTGGAGTTGAATTCTTAAGGGCTTTGTCCATGTTCAAATAGAGAAAGGAAAATTTGTCATAGTATGTCCATCTCCTGCATAAAATGTCGCATTGGGAAGTTTCACGTCGTAGTCGTGCAGTAGACATCAGTGAAATGTACTAATAAATGTGATGCATGAGCAGAGCAGTAAAAAAAATGTTTAGCTCATGATTTTGTGAAGCCATAGCATTAAACCTTGAATAAGTTGGCCTGGTTTTTTTTCACTTAACAATCCATGTCCACCCTTGTTATCCATAGCAACAGATGACAGGAAAAAGTTTCAGTGCCCAAATAAAGTATTTTCTAACAAATCTGGCCTGTTATTTTTGGGATTCAGCCATACAAAGACTTGTTTTAGCTTTTCAAAAAGATAAACAAAGCCTCTTTAAATAGTCATTGCATAATAATTTTCTTCTCATAGACTCAATCCGCATACAATCCGTGATTGCTCTGTCATTTGTAGAGTAATTCTCTAACTAGGCTTATAACTGGTATGTATTAAGGTAATTAAATTTTCTTTTCTAGGTGTAGAAAGGTATAGTTTGATATTAGCTGTAAATATATTTTTTGGTCAGCATTTCTTGCTATAGAAAAAGATTTAGTGCACAGTACATATTTAAGAACAAGTTTAGCTAGTATTTATTTTCTTGGTTTTTAGTGTTAGAATGGTGTGGAGTGTTGTCTTGAAGGGAGCACACGGGGTTCAAGTTTAGGTTGTAATATGCATCACTCTGTACTATCCTCTGGTATACTAATGATAATAATTATTTCATAATTCCTTCAACAACTCTTGAATTTATATTATCATCATCAATTTGGTTGTCTTGGTGAGACTAGGAAAGCTGAAAGTCAGTTCAATTAGTAATGTGTAAATAGCTAAAAAATGTAGTTGTGCTACTTCCTCAAACAATAACTTTTGATAAACTGTAACAATAAATTGTATTAGTTGCATAATCAAGTCTCCTATACTATTTATTGTATGGTATTTGAAATAAACTAACCCCAAATAACCCCTTTGATAGACTTTGATCTTGATTTCCCCTACAAGTTGCCCTGTGTTTGCTTAAAAAACAAAGGGAAGATTGAGCATGACATCAGAGTCACTTTGGGCCAGTTATTTTTTTAAACAATGCAAAGGCATGGTGGCTACGCAGTTACATACCTTAGTCATAGTAACTCTGGTGTATATAATATTATTTTATGGCAGGTAATTAAATGACTATGTACTTTATGAATCACATACTGAGTCTCTTAAAATGTGCCTGCAGTCAGTCAGTAGTATTTAACATTTTGGTAATGCTACGCATTACAGGTCATTTTAGCCTTTAAATATGGCCTTCTTTCAATCCTCACCACACAGGACATTTTTTTTTGATAGTGAGCAATAATTAGAGGTAACTGTATTCGGAGGTGGATGTCCCAATCACATGACTTGCCTTACACTTCTGTTATCCTTCTCATATAATCACATTTAATAAAATGTACCGGTAGTTTTAGAGGGCTTTTTTGGATCCATGTTTACAATTGATAAATAAAAGTTACAAAAAAAAATTTAACTGTTTTTTGGTTGTTTTTGTACAAGGATTATTATAGGCCATTAGGAGGGGATATAGAGGATATTACATGGCTGTGTGGAGATACAAAATTTCTCTTCAAGTGTTGAAAAATATTTCACAAGTGAGCGCAGCAAACAAGTGAAATATTTTTTCAACACGAGAAGATAAATTTTGTATCTCCAAGCGCCCATGTAATGTTCTATTTATTTTATAAACACCAATGAAATACCAAAGCATTTCCCTTTAATAGTTTTTGGTGTGAAACTCGCGATTTATTATGTAGCCTTAGCAACGGTGGCATTTTCACATTTGAAGATAACATGTTATTTTCACATGTGAAGCTATCATGTTTTTGCGCGAAAGCTCACCTGGTATTTCATCGGTGTTTATATAATAAAAGTGATTTATTCACCACAGGCACAGTCTGAGATGGATGAATCAAGATTTTTTTTTCCTTTTTCTGAAGGGAATGTGGATAGGGTAATTCATGACTGATAGCTACATTCCTTTACTTTTGGAGAAATTTAGAGGTACATTTACGGCAAACAGTTACAGTTCTCAAAGTATGAAATGAGCAGATAAAAACCTGTCCAAATAATCACTATTATAAAAAAGGCCTTCATCCAATTTAATATGGGTTGGCCAAAAAAGCTTGCTTTAACGCGCTAGGTCGACTTGTGGCAAGTCTATTACTATTATGGATGAAACTGGTATGAAACTTCTTCTTTATGCACAGAAGATACAATGAACAGTAAACGACAAGTTAAGAGAAAACTTTGTAACATGGTATAAAAGTAACTTGCTATTTGCCATAAATTTGTTTCTAAACCTATTAGCCCCCTCCCCCCCCCCCACACACACCCCTTCAAATTGCATTTCTAGCTTATGTGCAGACATCTGCTATGTCAAATCTCTGTCAAGATGTAGGTTATAATAACCTGTTTTATATTCCCTAATTATAAAGAAAACAACGAAATGACAAGTTTTTTAAAATAACAATAATTATTATTATGCCAAAGAACTTCCTCGTAAGGGGCTAGAAACAATATTTATTAAAATAGTGTTAAGTCTAAAAGACACAAAATTGAAGACTCAGACTTGTTAGGGATCACTACCTTCCTGGGCCCAGTTACTCGAAAGCATGGTTAGCGTTAACCAGCGTTTAATACCTTGGCAACGTATTGGTTGCTTAACCAATGGTTATAAAGCTAACCATGCTTTGAGCAACTCAGCCCTGGTATTCTGATAAATAAGCCAAAGATTACACAAAAACTGAAGGAAATTAAAATCTAATTAAAAACAACTTAACTGAATTACTGAAATTCAACCTTGACTGATGACTTGAAGTTGTCTATCGAAACACCATTTTAATCTTCTTTGCAATAATATTTTTATCAATACAAAAGGCACTTTTTTACTAACTTACTTTTTCACTTTTTAACTAAAATCAGTCAGTTGTACATTACCTTGACTAGCTACTGATGATTACTGTTAATCACTCATAGATATTTCAACGTAAGCTGACTATGGTATTGAATTTTTTTGGTTTTGATTAGAGATAGCAAAAAAGCTGTATTTTTTTTTTATAAAACCTTGATTGATTTCATTGATTTCCTTGTCATGTTACATTTTCCTTAAATAATGCAGCAAGTCTTGTTTGCAACCTTCTTGAATTACAATCTGTCCTCAATATAAATAAAATGAAGCATTTTGTCATCTTAACAGAGGTAGACTTGAAATAATTTAACTATGCTGAAATGGCCAGTCAAAAAGGATATGGTCCAGGCAAATGCCTTCATAATACAGATATATAATTTGTACATCATCACATGAGCATCTCCACAAGCAGGCAAGATAAAGTGAACCCTGGGTTCTGACTGACTACTCTACGAGCAGGCAAGATAATGCTTACATCTTGCCCGCTTTGTTCTTGCAACAAAAATTATAGAACCTTTTTTTGATTAAGCAGGTTTGTCGGTCAAGCTAGGACAGCTGCATGTTGGCTTTATGATGTAAAGTTTTCAATATCTAGCCATCTTGACCTCCTGCTATAAGGCATACCAGGTATTGGCCTGCAAGCAAGCTCTCTGGGATGCTCTGGTGGCGGGGTGGGAAAAGGAAGGAGAGCTTGAACTACGTCTCTGGAATTTGAATTCTGCCTCCAATTTCCCTGTTGCTCCCCAATGACTGAGCTGTCAGATTTCTACCAATCAGCACAAAGTGGGAACAAGCATGAATGTAAACAGACATTGAAAAACAAGTGCCAAGTGTAATGACATCATTACTGGTGTCATCTCCGCCAATCAGCATTTTGCATAGACTTTTTCAATGTAGATATTCAAATTCAAGAGATGTTGTTGCAAGCTCTCCTTCCTTTTCCTGCCCCGCCGCAAGAGTGCCCCAGAGAGCTTGCTAACCAGGTATCTACAGAGGCATGTGACATGGGTGACTGCATGAAGTTGAGTTGTCTGTACTATTAAGATGTCTGCATTAACTTGGGTTTTCTAAATCCAAGTGGATAACAAGCCACTTGAAACATGCATAATTTTACCCCCAAAAATCATTTGTCATCCGCACTAAATCTGATTCAGCTACTATACTATGTGAGCATATTGGTTAGATCCTTCAATTTTCTAGATAAATTATTTGGAAATCCTGATTATACATACTGAATTATTTCATGTTTTTTTCTCTATATGTAATATGGTTAATGTCTCTGCATTGGTGTGTAAATAATAAAAACAGTCGAATCTCTTTAAGCTGTAGACACTGGGAAAGGCACATGTATGTGTACCCCGCAAGCAGTGGTTTCTCCAAGCTGGATGCAACACTACGAAGGAAGAGATACCTTTGTAGTGCAACGTCTGTCCTGGAGAAATGAGTGCTCGCAGGGTATGTATTGGAATGGTCACCATTAAGTAATAGAGGTTCTTTTCATAAAGATTAACAGACAGTTTTGACCACTGAGACTCTGATAACTTGCCACTAAAATATAAGATGGCCTCTTAAT